ACGGTAGGGTTGTTGGAAACCCACTTGTTCTGGGGCTCGAGGGCGATACGGGCACCGTTGGCACCACCACGCTTGTCGGAGTGACGGAAGGTCGAGGCGGAGGCCCAGGCGACGGAGGCGAGCTTGGAGACGTCGAGACCGGCGGTGCCAAGAATGTCAGACTTGAGCTTGGTCACATCAGCATCGTCAATAAGCTCACCCTCCCTAGCGGGAAGGGGATCCTGCCAGCCGAAAGTCTCCTTGGGGATCTCAGGACCGAGGTAGCGGGCGACGGGACCCAAGTCACGGTGGAGAAGCTTGAACCAAGCCTTGGCGAAGGCGTCGGCGAGCTCCTGGGGGTGGTCGAGCCAGCGGGTGGTGATGTTGAGGTAGGACGGGTCGTTGATGAGAGCCAAGTCACTGGTGAGCATGGTGGCCTTGCGGAACTTGGTGCTGTCAAAGGGGTCGGGGTAGTCGAGGGTGCCGTTGACAGCCTCCCACTGGTGAGCGCCAGCAGGGCTGGTGACGAGGGTCCATTTGTTGTGAATGAGAGACTCCAAGTAGCCGTTGCTCCATCTGCAGGTACAAGGATTAGCGTCGGTGTGTCACTGCATAATCACCCGGTGTGGTTGGTGTATAAATAGCTTTTCTTGGCCTCATCGTTTGTCGCCTCATCATTTCTCCCATGACCTTCTCTTTCTCTCAAAGGCGAGTATTCGGCAAATGAGAGATACAAGACCTCTCAAGAGTGAGTGAGAAGAGGGGAAATGGGAGTGACTGGAGTGCCAAGACCCTGAGGGGCGCAAATCATATGCAAACGGAAATAGACTCATCACAATCATGACTTACTTGGTAGGGGTCTTGGTCCAGACAACCTCAAGACCACTGGTCATCTGGTTGACACCGTTGCCATCGCCAACGCTGTTGTGCCATCCGAGACCCATCTCGCCAAGGTCAGCGGCCTCGGGCTCGCCTCCAATGTTGCCTGTGAGAGACGCCGGTTAGCATTTGCATGCTCCAAAAGTGGCGGTGAAAATCGTGTGTTCCCGGGGGTGAGCCGGAGCTCTCTCCGGAGACGCTCTATTATTGCGCGTTCGTCCGACTAGCACCGAAATGGTGAAGAGAGCACGCGTGAATGAGGTGCAACTCACTTGCAGGCACAGCACCGTGCGTCTTGCCGAAGGCGTGTCCACCGGCGATCAAAGCGACAGTCTCCTCATCGTTCATTCCCATGCGATCGAAAGCGACGCGGATGTCCTTGGCCGAAGCGGCGGGGTCGGAGCTGGCATCGGGGCCCTCCGGGTTGACGTAGATGAGACCCATGTGGGTAGCACCCAGGGGCTTCTCAAGCTTGTCGGCGCGCTCGTTGATGTCGGTGCTGCCATTGTAGCGGACATCGTTGCCCTTGGGGACGAAAGTCGTCTCGCCACCCCAGTAGACGGACTCATCGGATTGCCAGGTATCGGGACGGCCAGCGGCGAAGCCAAGGGGGGTGAAGCCCATGGACTCGAGGGCGACGTTGCCAGTGAGCAAGTACAAGTCGGCCCATGAGATCTTGTTGCCGTACTTTTGCTTGATAGGCCCTGTAAAACATGGAAGAGGTAGGATTAGCAAACGTTTCTTCTCTCTCTCTATCTCTCAAGAGCCCCACAACATCGCTCTATTCGCGCCATCGAGCCAAGTGGATATCGCTACCGAGTCGATGATGCAAGTCGAACATGGGTGGGCCGAATCACAAAAGAGCGCATAAGGATGGGAAATCTTACACAGCAGGCGGCGAGCCTTGTCGAGGTTCTGGTTGTCAGGCCAGCTGTTAAGCGGAGCGAAACGTTGTTGGCCCTGCAGCAGTCCAATATTAGTAAACGCCAGTCCTCAAGAAGAATCAAACTGATGCAGAGATGTGATAAGATGCAAACAGCCCAGGTCCATATTTCGTGACGCGGTGCGAGTGGAGAAAAAGCCGACGGAGATGCTTTAGCACCTCTTGGCTTTGATCCGGGATAGGACAAAAACCTCCGTCTAACCAATTGATCTTCCAACGCGAGACGAATAGGACCGCGAAGAGATGATCAAGTGCAACGGTAGGCAAGGAATAAGAAATATGCTAAAATGGAGGGGGGGTTACAACGCGGTGTTTCTTCCAGCTACCTCGTGCCAAGTGGGAAAGCACTAGGAAGACCGGGAGAGCGGGGGGGGGGGGGGGAGGACTTTCGGGATAGCATAGCCAAAGAGAAGAGAGTAAAACATAAGCCAAGAGGTGCAGTGAAGAAAAAACGGCTCACCATTCCACCGCCACCTCGGCCGTCAATGGCGCGATAAGTGCCGGCGCTATGCCAGGCCATGCGGATGAAGAGACCGCCATAGTGGCCAAAGTCGGCGGGCCACCATTCCTGGGACTCCGTCATCAGGGCGTGGAGGTCCTTCTTCAGAGCCTCATCTGTCGTGGGGTGTTAGTGAGGATCCTCCCACACATCGTTTATTCTTCCCCCTCCCAATAGAATCTACTCACAATCCAGAGAGTTGAAAGCCGCAGTGTAATCGAAATCGCCTCCGTACGGGTTGGTCGCGGGCTGGAATTGGCGAAGAGTATCGAGTCTAAGCTGGCAAGGCCACCAGTCGTGGCTGCGGGTGCCGCCGCCAGCCTGGTTGCTGATTCTCGAGCATCGGCCGAAGCCCTCGGCCGTGTCTCTCTTGGGGAGCTCGCTGGTGACGGAACCATCGCGTTTGGCGAAAGGGCAACCCTCAGCCGTGACGGCGGGCAGAAGAGCAGAAGCTGCCAAAAGGCAGCTTGAAAGTTTGGCGTGCATGTTGACAAGACAGGTTGATCCAGAGGACGTTCAAAGAAGGAATGACTAGGTGAGAGTGAGACCGGGGGGTAGCAGACTCAACGGGTGAGAGATGAGTGTGTTCCTGAAGAAGAGGAAACAGATCTTTACCCCAAGATGGGACGAACCCCAGGACATAAGTAATAAACTGTGACGACCTACGACTCACGAGCAATGACACGGTTTCTGGGCAGGTACCACGAGCCACGATGGAGCATCTCCATGTGGGAATAATTTGATTCCAGAACTCCATGATTAGTAACAATACCAAGACCTGCGAAGGCCGCTTCCAAGCCCGGCGTCCCCAATGCTGCGCAAGGCATCGCTGACGGGGGCCTTGGTAATAAGCTTCCTACAACGGCAGTCGAGTCGGTATTGCGCACTAAGATGCCCCATGGCAAGGTTTGCGATCCAGAATAAGCGCCTGGAATAACAATCTTGTTTGATTAGGATGGGCGTGAACATACGCAGATTGGCAGATGGCTCTTTGGTGTGGTCTGGTCCGCTTTTCACACTTTTGGGCGGGGATTGTGTCCTAAGCGATGTCCATATGGGTGAAACTTACGGCAACTTGTATGGAGAAGACATGGGGCCCAAGGAGGAGAACACACCAGGATGGAGTTGGCGTGGCCGGGATTATGAGTTCAGATGTTGATCCATAGCCAGGCATAAGCTAGGGAATCCGGGGAGCTGACGAGCTGTGCTCCCTGCTCCGATGGTCAACAGTCAACAGTATGATGCGGGCCGGTGCCAAGTTACTGGGTGACTGGAAGAGTAAGGTAGTATTTCTGTAAAGCCTGCAATAATTCACACCAACCGCGACCAATTGTGCGATGACAGTTTCCAAGCTGCGGGAGCCACTTTTGAATCTAATAGACTTCGCCCCCTAAACTCCGAAGAGCAACAAATCGGATCATATCAACCCGCCCTCTCCCTGCTATATCCTGCTGTACCCTGTCTGTAAACACCACTTAGAAGTTAGGACTGCATATACACTTAGCATGTACGGAGCTGCCCGCGCGCAACGGGCTAATTGATGCCTCCGTCATTCATCTGGCTTCTGCGGACTTGCGACTTTGTTCCTAGCGAAGCTCCTAGAGAGTCTCGAGAATCCATGTCCCAGCAAAACCCCCCGAATGCAATGCCGGGTGGGAGACTAGACAACCTAGCTGTAGACAACCTGCCATTACAGGTCTAGACTCTAAAGAGTCGCACAAGGTTTTGGCCCAAATCGCGACCACCCAACATGGGATGAAGGAAGCTTTTCATCAATCGTGCATTGACTCAGCCCTACCTCCCTCTGGCGGCGGGCAAGTATTTGGGCGTGGAAGGAAGCAAAAGCAAGCCTCTGGAGGGGAGGATCTGGAACCCGAACGCCTCCCCCCTCCTAGACGACCCTCCTCGACGATCCATCCCCGCGCGCCGGCCGGCCGTTGATGGCGGCCTTCAACGGCCTCGACTGGAACGCACGGCACAGAAACACTCGGAACCACAGTCCATAGACACACTGCAAGGTGACACCACCCACACAGACATGCGGGCGGGATGGGATGCAGCCAGGCGGCGTGGCAGATCAGCACGCCAGCTGCAAGCACGAAAGAAACCCTCGACAGGCCGGGCCAACCCAGCCAGCACCACCATCCTGAACAGGAAGGCTAGATTTGAGGTACGCGAGTATTCGTGCATGCACCTTACAGTAAGAGAGCTGTCGGCCGAAAATCCTGCGACCCCGGCTGTGCCCGTGCCAAAAGATTGCCCCCGAGTAATACTGTATAGCCACATCAGTCACCCCGTCCACCTGTTCTGCCAAGATGCTTGGCGAGGTGGCTTCTCATCACATGCAGAGTCCCCTTGGGCCTTGGACACGCAACACCATTCCCTTGGCTTGGAACTGCGAACCCGGAGGCCCTTGGGAGTTTGATGGGGTAAGCCGCACTGGGAAGCACGGCGACAGCAGAGGTAGAATCTGACGCTGGGAGTGGCTGAGATGAGAATGAGATTGCCGCCCTGTCAACTACCGTAGCGTGCAACTCTCTGAATCACGTTTATCCCTGTACACTGGTTTTGCTACTCGGCCGACACCCACTTGCCGACGGGTCATGAGCCTGTACTAGAAATGTGTCGAACCACATTGGCTGGGCACTGCACACTTAGTTGCCGGAAACATTACCCTCTTTCGTCTCTGCCGTACCAAGTATGCGTCCGCGGTGTCCGTGGCATGCTATAATCTTTTTCCTCCACAGACCACTGTCCATGTCCACCCCAACACGTGCACGACCAGCTATAGTTACCTATACGAAGGATGCAGTATTGAGGGGGCACGGAAAGTTTACTTTTGCGATATCATCTCGGGGAACGCCACATAGCATAGGGGGGAGGGGAGCACGGGCAATTCAAGAACTGGGAGATTTGTTTTTCGGGGTTCATCTCACACCCTTCCACGCGCGCAAACTTACCAATGATGAATCATATCGCTTTTCCCCCTCCCACTATACCAAAAGTAAACTTGGAAACCTTGATCGACTCGGCTGCACCCTATTGTGATTATAAACTGCCTCAATTCTATAGGACGCCGGTCAAAGCCGTCAAGGATCACAGTGATAATAGACACGTTCTTCACTCCGTTCAACTTACCATTGTCTTCAATTGACTTTGCTCTAGGATGCCGAGGCGGACGACATTTCCATTTGGGAAGGACAGGCAAATGCAACCCGTGATCCATGTGATCAATTCTGCCAGCTTCCCTTGGAGTTGCATGCAAAGTCAAAAGTTTCCCAACTCACAGACCTGAGCTACTAAGTCAATTTTCATCGGACTTAATACTACTCAATATTATTCCTCTTCGGCGATGAACCAACTTCAAGGGTCAGCATAATTCATCATAGAAGTTTACTATTTGGCATCCAACTACCTCACTGCCGAGTTCATGCAACATGATTTCGTAGTCACGAGTGATATCCAACAATGTTTGTAAGCTCAAGGAAGTGTAAGTGAACCGATTCCCGCTCAGGAAGCTATGCCCGTCTCGGCGTTTGATCATGGGCTTGTATCGGATTCAAATGGCATTGGCTTCGTGAGGGAAACTCCGTCGCGGACATGTTTACATCCGAGAGCAATTGACTAGATGTTCTTCAAGTCGTGAACACTTGTGTCCCATATCGAGCGAGCCCTTACTAACATTCGTTGTAATTGTACTCCAAAGTCAGAAACCAGAAAGATTACCGCCTTGTCTGGAAATTGTAAGACAAGACGTACAAATCAGATGCCCACGTTCCTCTGCCAGTACAGACGAAGATGAAAATAGCTCACAGCACCAAGATACTCAAAGAAAGCAGACATGTCGTCGACCTGATGTCGCAACTCAAACCAACGACGCGATGCGGACTAGGTTGAGCTGTGCATGCCAAGCTTGAGGGCCCAACTCCATCACACTGCATAAGCGGGTGATGCTCTCTTCTATTTTCAGCTACCAATAAAGGAGGCTCGGTTCGTCAGCGCTCCTTGGTCTAGTCGGTATTACATCCTTTGAAAGTGAGAAGTGGCGCGATACTCGCTTTAGACTCATCCCGAACAACGATGTGCATCAATAAACTAGACCTCTTGTGAAGATACGGACAGACGTTCCCTGTGCAACGATACAGGATGGCCTGCAAGTGAGAGTTTCTGTGATGCTACCCTTACCCCGAGGCGCAGCAGTAAGCTGTCAGCACCCAAAGGATTGCGGGGCTTGGAATCGATCCGAGTAGCTGTCACCAAGGCACATAAGCATGCCAAGTAAACTAACCGCTCGGTCAGACAACGGTGAGTTCAGCTTGACGACCTGGAGAAGTCGGTAAGTATGAGCCTGCCCGGTATCCCACCAACTCCGGTCCCATGAATCCAGTATACTGCCAATATCCCACGTGTCCCTCCACATGACCCGGCGCCGCGGGCCCGACCTTTGACAGAGTCCGTGTCCGTCCGTTAAGGGGGCCCCGCCCGGCCCGGCGCGCTTGGCAGGCCCGAAAGGGATCCCCGAGTCATAGGCCAAGTCTATCCCACTGGGAAGCCGGCCGAAATAGCCCCTTAAACAATGCTTGATAAGTTCACGGGCACTGTTTTCATGTTTTCTGGATTGATATAGAAACCCGCTTGTTTCATCCGAATTGGAAAGCAGTGCAATCATTGCGAAACTTGGAACGGACATGGGATGACTCGGGTATCCTTGGCTAATCTCAGGGGTAAGAAAATAGAATCCAGATTTCAGATTGCCGGATCGATCCATCTTTCTATAGCCCGTAGCAAAAATGATTTGTTGTCTTGTTCGCCAAGAAGAACGTGATTCTGCAAATTGCCTATTATAGGCCTGCTAGCGACCTGCAAAGAGCTTCACGGTGAACGATTTGTTTCTGATTGAATCACCTATGACTATTGCCGTAGCACCAAGCTGCATCACTTTGACTGGGCCCCTGAGCGCAAGCCTCGTTCAAGGCCGTCAATGAGCCTCCTGGCAATGCGCGCGGGCTCCCCTGATCGACCCCTTTCCGTCTCTTCCTCGAAGCTGCATCGCTCCGTCCACCAGTCTAGCCACGTCTCGGCCCGCGCACCCTCGTCTGCCCGAAGAAGCCCTACGCTGACGTCGATGACATCTGGTCGCCAACTGTCGCGCCAGAATATCGTTGCACCGCAGTTACCACAGAATTCACGAAAGACACCAGGTGAGGATTCGTATGTCTTCACGACCCCGGCGGGCAAGTCTGCGAAGTTGAGAGGGAGGATTCCGGACTGGCCGTCGTCTGGTCCGGGGATGTGAAAGAAGATGTTGCATCGGGGGACGAATGCCCAGGTCTGAACCTCAAATCCGGAGATGAGGCGGCAAGACCGGCAAGCACAGGTTCCAGCCAAGTACTTTGTGCCGTTGCTTCGAATCCACCACTTGACGGTGTCGGGGTTCTTCATAAACTCGGCGGAATGTTCGACTTGAGCATATTGTAGGTCGGGGAAGCCGGAGTGCGGTAGATAGCTTTCTTCGGTTGGCCGTGTGATGTGGTAGCTCACCCTGCCACAGGCGCATGAGGCGTGCAGAGAGTCTTTTGAGAAGCCAGCTGGCGTGGGAGGAAGCTTCGTCGTGGACTGTGATGATGGAGTGACCGGCGTTGTGGTCGATTCTAGCCGCTGTCCATCAATCTCGGACAGCCATATCGAGATCCCGCCGTCTTTGGTATCGGAAACGCCGGTGTGCCTTGCAAAACGCGCGTCCGCGCCAACGTCGTCGGCCGTGTTATGCAGTAGGACGCCAGTGGCTGCTTCCCACACAGTCACTCCATCAATATCTCTGCGTCTCAGGACATGGCATCCGCACGTGCTGCAAAAGTATCTTGTCCACCCGTCAACGCCATGAAACGCAGTCGTATCATCCGTTTGATGAGGTTCATGAATGGGGTAGTAAGAGGCGCAGAGAATGCCTGTGGCGTGTCGATCAACGTCGCCATGGTTGATGGACAACTTGAGAGTCTCTCCGTGAGCAACGACAGACTGAACCTGCTGCGAGACGCCGCCGCAAAGGCAGGAGATGTTGAATGTATTGGGTGACATAATGGCTTTCTTTAACGTCAAAGACTTGGAAGTAATTATGCTGCAAGCTGCAGCAGGCGAGTGATTTATATGATGAACGATCTCTACTCCACGACCTTGACATCGTACGTGTAATGAATGGTTCAAGCTTGGATAAGCTGTCAGCAGATTCCCCGCATCAGCTTGCAGCATTTGATAACGGCACGGCCAGCCGGATCCCGATCAACCACCCCGAAAGCGGAGAGTCTTCAAAGTGTCGGCGAATATCGACCCCGCAGTCGCCGGGGGCCTGCGTCGATCTAGGGCGTCTGTAAGGCGCGTTTACAGCCAACCGCGATTTGGGTGCGGAATATCGGGAAGCCTCTTTAGTGAGCCATGCGTTGTCATCTGACTGGTTGATTCTCCGCGGGTCTGATGCCAGATGCGCGGAGTATCGCACGACAGCCATGTTCTCCCAGAATCGTCATCGTTGACAGATTTACTGAGCGGTAATTATCCAGAGACTCCGTACTTGCGCCCGATAACGCCGGCTAAGGGCTGGAAACCTTTGGCAACAGCGTCAATAGCTAGGAGGTGGGGTGTTGAGTTCAAGATTGCTCAGTACTCCAAGTCTGTTCGCCGCAGCCTTTGGGGCATGACTGTGGCTCACTCGTGCGACGAGACTGTTCGAATGTGAATTGCACTAGTCGCAGCCAAGAACATCTCCTAATATTTGGTACAGCTTGAAGACTGGGCAAACACGCCACCTGAAAAGCGTACGGGTTCTTCCATCGCGCACACACGTGGGCCGTCCCATTATGTAGTTACACCATACTGGACTTGAGAGGAACCTGGAGGGAGGTAAAACGATTACCAAACTTGAAGGCTGCAGCAGCATTTAATAGCAATGATAAACTATAATTATACCAAGCTGGTAACTTACAGACTGCCGATTGGCTTGTTATCCTATGTCGTCATCTTTCAATGACCTGCGATGCTCTTCAGCGGTCCAGCTTGGACGAAGTAGATTCAGAAACTAGACGGGAAAACCTACGCCCCCCCGGGATCCCTTCTCAGAATAGCGGAATACAATCATTTGAGCGCTTTTGAAAATCTCATCAATACCGCGACTGGAACGATAAGGAATATTAACCAATTGCAGGAAGGGTCGCAAAAGACAGAATCCACCATCGAAGCTGTCCCAATCTTATGAGATTCACGTTCTCATGAAATGACTACGCATTTCACGTGTCTACGCCATTGCATGTTTCTGGAAGTTGCCTTGCTAGTCTCATCAATTGGGAAAGGCGTTCATGCGAGTCCATCGTCTTGCCCGCATGACGGGACCTCGAGGGTTGAGCTAAACCATAATGGCGGAACCCAGAGAACCCAGGGATGTACTCAGATAAGAGCCCACTGAGAGAGATATACTATTGAAAGCGTCAGCAGAGTATTGAAGTCACTTTTACGGAGTATAGCTTCCAGAACCGACTCAAGCCGCCATTTCATGGTTTTCACCGCTCTGGTTGGCCGTGGCGTGATTCTCCGAGTCGAGCCATCACGCTGGTGAGCCGAGCAGGTGGGGTACAAAATCTTCAATAGGCAACTTTTGAAGGCTTGCACCATCGGGTTCGCGATGACGTGCTTGTCAGAGTAACACGAATGATCAAAAGTCGTCTGACATTTGTCTTGATACGTCGGTTTCTGGTGGATGCGTCGTCTCTTATCGGAATTATGTGGATGTCGTCAGTGAAAACTTTTGGTATTTGCACCTTGCGTATGGATTTGCCCAGCCATGAGTAACGAGGCGTTGCTGATGGTGTGCTCTAAACGCTGCTGTGATGCTGCAGATGCAAGTGATAAGAGCAAGCATCTTTCCTTGCAACTTTACTACGGATTACTTCTTGCGGACATTCTTTGTCAAACTTAATGCTGCCTGATCACTGATTGACAAAGACTAGTTGCATTGTCGTCTCGTAACTCGACAGTACAGACTATGGCCGACCACGACATCAAGGGAGTGGCAGAGCCATCTGCTACAGATGATATTTCCAATTCAGACGAGCGCTCCGCATCCGTGGCGTCGAACTCGGCGGCGACGGGAGCAAAGAGCCCGGAGCAAGCTGCCAAGAGCCTTCCGAAGACTGGCGCTGATGCTGCCCTCCAACTTCTCAACGAAACTGGCCCTCTAGCCCGCACTATTGACCCAGAGCTGAATAGAAGGCTCAAGCACCGCATCGATACTCACATCATGCCGCTGATCTGCATCGTATACTTCTTGCAATATATCGACAAGACAGCCATCTCGTATGCCAGCGTCACGGGCATTCAGCAATCCACTGGTCTCCACGGGAACCAATTCAACTGGGTTGCTTCCATCTTCTTCTTTGGTCAGCTCGCTTTCGAGTTCCCAACCATCCGACTCATCCAAATGTTTCCTCTTGCGAAATACACCTCCATCAATATCATTCTATGGGGCGTCGTCCTGGCTTGCCTCGCCGCATGCAAGAACTACGCTGCCCTGCTTGTCTGCCGTTTTCTCCTTGGTGCGTTCGAAGCGGCTGTAGTGCCTGCATGGGTTCTCTTCACCTCGCAGTGGTACACCAAGCAGGAACAGGCATTCCGCGTCGGAATATGGTTCTCTGTCTGTGGTGCAGCTCAAATGTTTGGTGGCTTCTTCGCATATGGCGTCGCAACACACGTTGGAAAAGACCCCAACGCAGCTTTGAGGGGTTGGCAAGTGATCTTCTTGTTCCTTGGTCTGCTGACCGCACTCGTTGGTATCGCGTTCTTCTTCATCATGCCTGACTCGCCGGCCACTGCCAGATTTCTTTCTCAGGAAGAAAAGGCGACTCACCTTGAGCGAATCCGGGATAATGAGCAAGGTATTGGCTCGCAGGAGTTCAAATGGAAGCACGTCAAGGAGGCATTGCTCGACGTTATGACTTGGCTTTATGCTTTTTGGATCTTCGCGGCCAACATCCCCAACTCTATTGCAACCAGCTTTGGCAACATCTTAGTGCGAGGCATGGGATACACGAGTGAGGAGTCTCTTCTTCTCGTCACGCCGCTCGGGGCTTACGAGATCGTGGCGTTGGTCGGCCTGACTTGGCTAGCAATGAAGACGAGACAACGACTCTACTGGTGCATTGCCGGTCACATTCCTGCCATTATCGGTGCTATTCTCATGGCTACAACTTCGAAGGTCCCAGCCTTGATCGGGTACTACACTTCAGGAGGTATCCCAATCGGATGGACGACGATTCTGGGACTGCAGAGCACCAATGTTGCAGGTTCCACCAAGAAAGTCACCGTCGCATGCATTGGGACCATCGCATACACCATTGGTAACATCATATCTCCTCAGACCTTCCAGGCCCGGGATGCGCCTAGGTATCTCCCTGCAAAGATATCCATCTGCATTATTTACTTCTTGGTTACAGTCGACTTATTCTTGATGCGCTGGGTGTTGGAGAGAAGGAACCAAAAGCGTGATGCTGAAAAGGCGGCTTTAGGAGATGCTTATAAAGTGGAGGAGAACCACGAGTTCTGGGATTTGACGGATCTCGAGAATAAAGAGTTTAGATATGAGTTATAAGCTGAACATTATTGACGAATGTATCTTCGCCGCCTAATAGTACGTCCCTTGGGACACATGTTTCTTTTCATATACAATCTCGTCTCGCAGCTTACCAGACCTCTTCCACTGTCTGTAGTTACATTAAGATGCTGTCATTGTCTTCGAATTGTTGCACAGGTGAAACCTTGGGACGAGTCAACTAGGTGCAGAGTCGATGTTGGTTCCACAGTTTAGTCAAGAGACTCTTTGAAACTCTGTGACTCGGAATCAGTAATGATACACCGCATTGAGACCCAAATCAGTTGCAGAATGTTTCTGCACTCACCCATGGTAGCTTTCCGAATGTCTATTCTATTAGCTAGGGGCTTCACTAACGATGGATCGGCGCCTAGAGAGTCTTGATGGTTATAGTCATTCTCCTTGGTGGCAACCCAAGACGTCGGACGGCCCTGGCTTCTCCACTGGTTTCTGTCTAAGCGTCGCGATGGCACCTGGCTGTCATACCATATTCTTCTCGGCCCAAGACTTGATGTTGATGTTCTGTATTTAGTGCGTTGCCCTCAAGGTATCGTGTTCATCGTGGTAGCGAGTGTAGCATTGTTGGCGAAAGACTTGGTTGCATCCTTCGGGATGTCCTCCAGCTGATGGCAGTCGCACTGCTTCATCCGTGTGAATGCCAGAAGCTTTTCCAGAACCGCGAATTCAACTTTCAACTTGATGCTGTAGACGATGGGTTTGCTAGTTGTCTGAAAGACGAAATAGCCCGTGTACTCCAGAATGACGAGCCCGGTGTCGAGGAGGAACACCAACACGAACATACTGATGAGGAAGCTGAGCAGGACCTTTGCCTCCTGCGCCTTGAACTCGAAGAGGCTTTTGAAGTTTCGAAATCCGGCCCTGACGAAGATTCCGGTGATGATCATTTCCTGCAGAGTAAACACCATCAAAGATGCCTTTTCGAATATCTTGAAGCGGGTGTCCCAGACTGGGCTATTGCCTGCCCAGACTCCAGCGAAGAGGACCGTCTGCGGAATGTGAACGCAGAAGAAGGACGTTATTATCAACGCTAACACCAACCGGATAGTGATGCGATTGTAAACGACGAGATGCAATCGTGACCACAATACGACGGACTGGCCCGTGACCATGCAGTACCAGCCAATATGGGCGAATATCCCCGGTATCACCGTTTTCGTCGGCTGCATAAACCGACCCAGGCCGCCACACGCATGAAGCAGGATGCCGGTGTTGGCAACTAGCATGCTCCAGAAGTATCGTCCGCTTCGTCGGCGAAATCTCGCAAAGATTAGGACGTATAACTCGAGGGCGTTATAGATACCAGCCGTCGCTAGGCACGTAATCGCGATTGCCTCCTCAGTTGACAGGTTCTGACCTATCGCCCCCTTGACCTGCGCCATATCTCGGGGCGAGGGGGCCAGAGAGGCCGCTTTCTTTGCTCAAGCTCGTACACAGATCGATGAATGATTCTTGTTTTGACCCTGTAATATCGTGAAGTTAGGTGTAAGCCCAATAGAGATAACTGGAGCAAGCGGGGCCGATAAAGTCCGAGAAAGAGGACGTGATTAGTGGCCGGACCGAGATGGTTTTGATGTGTTTCACGGAATGCTATCATGGGGGAAGACTCGGCTGCCCCCGACCTTCTCGCAATAGCAAGGTTCGCCCGATCGAGTCATTGAAACATCTGACCGTTTTGCCAAGATAGCTTGTAGGTACACTCGGGATCGCACTCTCGGTCTCTGCCACTTCACAAAGGTCTCAGTTCGTCTTGCTATCCGTGCAGACAATAATAAAGGGACCGAGCGAGAGAAATCGCGCTCCCTATCAAGCCAAGTATGCCATCCTGCCATGATTCTCGCTTCCTTTTACGTCAAGTTTCATCATACTCCCCCAAAGTTCGCTGCGATTGCTAGTATTGGGTTTTGGTTCGCTGTTGAGTAGCTGCTTGGTTCACTTGGCGATCATTGCCAAACCTTTCCTCGCCTTAGCTGAGCTTCGCTGTATCAGATTGGACATTATATGCATAATACTTACTCGGAATCACTTCCAGGCCCGGAAGCCGAATCATCGACTATTGAGCATTCAATAGCGCTACGCGACAGCGGTATGTGAATGGATAAAGATGAGCCGGCTTAGTGAAACTCAATGCGGAGGTAGTCTTGAGACAAGATGAGCCAAGAATTATCATCCCATCCAAAGCCACGTGGGACCATTAGATCTAGCTGCGATTCTACTTCAGACCGCTTCATTGACTTTGGCATCTTCCTTTGAGGCAATTATGACGACGCAGTATACAGCAACCGCGGCGAAGAACACAAATAAGGCAGTGATTGTACTGAACCAGCCGACGCCAATGCTTTGAATTGCAGGCAAACATGAAGCAGTACCGACAGCTGCGATAGCGTATCGGAAGAAGTAGTTTCCCGCTGGATGAACACAAAAGTTGTTGTTATTTTGATGTATAAGGCAAGCTGTAGTGTGTAGAAGAGGGACGAACCTATGACTTCGGCGCTCCGGCCTTTGAACACATCCAAGCAATACGTGTTGATGCTGGGAAATGCGATTACCTGGGCGAAGCCCTGGATAAACATGCAGATCACCGGAAGTGGGATCCCGCCGACCGCCTTCTCAATGGACCAGCCGTAAATAATGATGCAGATAGGGATCACAGCTCCCATTGCCACGAATGAGCTCCTCAGACGGTCCTCGGGGACTCTACGACCCCTGATCTTGATCCATTGCTTGACAGTTCGGTCGGCCCAGCGTCCTCCGGCATACGTGCCAAAGAAGAAGCCACACCCTGGTGCGAGGAAGAAGAGCCCTGATTCGAGAGGCGACGTCAAGTGAAACCTAGGGTTAATGACGTATCGGATAGGGGTGAGCAATGCTTGCATGTTCCACACTAAGGCCGAGGCAGCCATTCCCTAAGTCGCATGATTAGAACGGTGAATGATATAGAATAACTTCCGAGTGTAGCTTACAGCCACGAAGAGTTTAGGTATCAGCAAGAGAGCCAGTACACGGAACGGGTTTGCCCAGTCCCAGACCTGAGCTACCTTTGCCTTGGTGCTCAATCCCTTTAACTCGTCTGAGCGCAGTCGGTGGCTGGTTTCTGGGAGGAATGCCACCGCAAGGATTGCCGTGAGCCCGGCGAGAGCAGACTGGAACCAAAACAATGATCTCCAGCTATGGAAGTTCACCATAACGCCACCGATAAATGGGCCAAAGCTCTGACCGATGAGAGTGCCATTGAGGAAAAATGCAAGCGCGGTGCCTCGTTCCGTGGGCTTGTAGATGTCGCCGATGCAACTGGAGCCGAGCACCAAATATGCTGTTCCCGTGAACGCCGAAAACATACGGAAGACGAAGAAGGCTGCAAGGTTTGGCGACAAGGCCGTTCCTACATTGAAGGCAAAGAAGGTACATGCCGAGACAATGCAGGGCTGCGTGTTTTCTGTGAGCTCGTGCCGAGATATTGAACCGAAACTTGTCAACCTACCCATTTTCGACCGTAAACTTGACTGATAGGGCCCCAGAAGAGGGTGCATATGCCCATGAATAGAACATAGATGGCGTTGCTGACGTTGATGGTAGTTCCAGTTGTGTTGAGATCGGCAGCGATTTCGGGGATGGCAGCTAGAAGCAACAAGGAAGAGACCGTCGACGCAATCCCGCCGCATGCTACAACGGCTGTTACGAGCCTCTTCTTGGCTGGCGCGAACCTGTTGTAAACAGCCTCGGTGTCTTGGCGGCTTAGACTAGCATCGTTCACGTCCACGGCCGGCACAATACTGCCACTCTTCTCCGCATTGGAAGTTGTCGGTGCCAAGTCCGGGGTTTCGGGCCGGCCGTCGCTGCTCGGCTCCGGCTTCTCAGACTGTTCGACTTCGTCATGGGACATGTTTGCGGGCTGCCGATGTGGGACTAGAGACCTGGCTTGGCTTTCTCCGTTCGACCATGCGGGGATGAATCTGAGAAAAGACCGTGACTTGGCGACCACATAGCACTGCCATTGCGCCAAAATGAATGGGAAATCCAAGTTTTTCAGAGCTAGCTGCCCGAAAAACTCGGCAAAGAAAGGACGTTGACCGACGGCATTGCGAAGAATCCACCCGGCGGAAACGTCTACCACATTGCACCTGGCTGACTTTTCCGACCTCGGTGACTGGACTGATAGATCATCCCTCGGAATAGCCCAGTTGTCCCCGCAAAATTGGTAGATGAATTGCTTCAAACAGAAGCCATCACTGCGTCCCCACGAATCAGACACCGCCTTGCTGAATTCAAGGTAGCATTGTTGGGGCGCGGGGGTTAGCCGCAACGGACATCTCCCGACGGGCTCACCCCGGGGCGAGCAATCGAGGCCAAATGGGTGGGGTTGACCGAGATCGAAACCAGCGCGGCAATGTTTGTGTTCTTACGGATCTTTTGTGTGGTACCCAGAGCTCCGAAATCGGCCGGCTCAGAACAAACGGCTCGGTCGCCGAATGCTCAGCCGGATTTGGTGTCGCGTGGTGTCAACGGACCTGTCGACCTGTTGTCCTGTGCCGGACTCGGCTCCAGTGGTACGGAATCGTATCTTGAAACAGAGGTACGAAAGACATTGTGTGGTTGAGCCGCATCTGTATCCGCAAACTTAAAGGGAGTGTGGTAGCAGAGTGGTGCGTGGAAGGCAGCCGATCACTTGCTATTCCTCAAAGTCGCATGTGTAGATATCCAAAAAGAAAAGCGAGAAAAAATATCGCATAACCTGTCGCAAATACAAGAGCTCTACGGGGTTCATCCACAGCACATCAACGTCAATTAAGCTTCTCCAGAGCTGTGATTTGGAAGTTAGCCCGCAACTCTCACCTTATGGGAGGAGATTGACGAAGAGCGATACAGAGTAATTGAGAGGTGTGCCGATAGCCGGGCTGATGATGACCCGAGCAAAGGAACAAGATTCACTGCGGGGTGCGGGCACAATATGACTGCCCTCCCTGACCATCTGGAAGCAGAGAGTTTATTCGGGGAAACTTTCATCCTATCTGCTCTTGGACAGCACTAACAGATGCCACTCCTCCGACGTTGACAAGCTGCATCCTCAAGCATTTACACAACTCGCACAACGATGGACAAGGGACCGGGTGCAGCCAATGATACGCAAGCTCTCAGCATCGACGACTTCACCGCCGCGCTTGAGTTGGACTTCATTACGTCGAACTTTGTCAACAATCAGCAACTCGACATTACCAGCTTTGGAACTGGACAAGACGAAACTTCACAGAATTTACAGGGCATTGGTTCTATTGAACCTCTCAGTGTTCTTGGTGTTGAGTCATCTCATCAACAAGATGCATTTGCGATTGGCCCCGCCCCAACCGCTCTTGGTAGCCAACATGTCAGCATGGACTTTGTCGAGAGGCAACCGGTGAACAACGCCAATCAATTTGACGAGCCTGGCGTGTTTATGTTCTCAGAAGCCTTGGGCGACGGAGAGCCTATGGGGCACCTATTCGGCAACGAAGGGAATATCATACCATCACTCCAGCCTTCAGATACCACAACGCCGCCGAAGATCGGAACTCGCTTCTCATCCAAGTCCCTCCGCATTCTGAAGACATGGCTGGCCAACAATAACCATCACCCGTACCCAACCACCGAGGACATGGAAATATTGCAGCGGCAGACTGGCCTCAGCAGACAGCAGATTACCAATTGGCTGGCCAACACCCGCAGACGGACGCGCTTCAAAGTGCCGCCAAAACGTCCGCCTTCTCCGGCGATTACCTCTTCAAGAACCATGCCCATCGACATTCCTGCAGGCTCCAGCCTTTCCGACACCTTCCAACATTTGAACCCTCTCCAGAGATGGCAGGTTTCACCTCCAGAGCATGAACCTGCGTCCGTATCGGCTATTGCCAACGCTGTGTCTGGATTTTCGTCAGAAGGGGAAGACTTGGGCGACCGATCCTTGACAGACACCATTCCGACGCGGTCCTTGTACGGGCAGTCTTCGGCAAGCAGTGCAGGAACGTCTCACTCCAGTAGAAGCTCGGCCAACTCAGCATATTCACACAACTCTCACACGTCTCTGAGGTCTCTCGAACCCCTTGGGAAAAGTGCAGTCAAGCGGAGGCGGCGTCGAGCGCTGGCGAAACGCCCTGAGGCCAAGGGCACAGGAACCCTTTGGCAGACCAGCAACACATATCAGTGCACGTTCTGTACAGAGACGTTCAAGACCAAACACAACTGGCAGCGTCACGAAAAGTCGTTGCATCTCTCTCTCGAGCGCTGGGAATGCGCTCCAACCGGCGCGACTGTCCCTGACGCCATCGGGCAGCCGGTTTGCATCTTTTGCAGCGAAGCGAACCCGAATAAGGAACATTTAGAGAAGCATAATTATCAAGCATGTAGGGACCGTCAGCCTGAGGACCGGACATTTTATCGGAAAGATCACCTGCAGCAACACTTGAAGCTGGTTCATGATGCCAAATTCTTGAGGTGGCCTATGGGAGATTGGAAATACGAAAGCGAGATTATACGTTCCCGGTGCGGCTTTTGCGGTCACACAATGTCTTCGTGGACCGACCGGATAGATCATCTGGCCGAGCACTTCAAAGACGGAAAGACGATGGCAGATTGGCACGGTGATTGGGGATTCGACGACAATGTCTTGAACATGGTCGAGAACTCGGTGCAGCCTTGTAAGTGCCGCTGTGTCGTTAGAGAACTCAAGCATGCAAGATCTAATCGGTGCTGCCCAGACTTGATTCACATGGAACGCAACTCGCCATGGCCTTTTACAACGAAGCAAGGTGTTCCAGAGACACCGCCCAATGCCTACGAGCTGATCAAGCTAGAGCTTGAACACTTTTCCGCCGAGCACCAAAACACCAAGGACGAGATGCCTACGAATGCAGAACTTTTATACGAGAGCTGCTGCGTCATTTTTGGATGCGACTCAATTTCATTTTCCAAGAGACCTGCAACGTCAACCCAGAGCTGGCTGCGAGATCTGCTCATGTCATCCGAATCCATCGTACAGCAGGCGCGGGTCCGACCGATGAAGAATAACGCAAGGTCACGATTCACGTATCTTAGCATAAACGGTAAAGCGTGCATCTTTGAGGCCTGCGGTTTGGAAGAGCAACTGCAGAGCTACGTGGAGATATCCAAGTTGATTGAGCCACAAATTTCCGACGACGAGTTGCAACGAGAGGCCTGCAACATCGTCGAAAGAATCGAGGCCTCTTCGCTCAATCCGTCGGAATTCTTCACAAACTTTTTGTTTAGTCTCATCAATGGATCTCCTCACTGGCTTGCCGCATTCCGTCATCGGACTGGACTCTCGCCGTCGGAGGCTTCGAATGCTGTTCCTCCCTCCAGCGTATCCGAAGGCCTTCTAGGCTCCATAGCAGCTGAGGCCGGCCTTGAGTTTTCGGGGGCGAATCTTTCTTCAGGTAGTACACCTGATCCGACACAGGTGAATGCTAGCGGCGGTAAGACGGGCGACATCAGCAAGGTGTACTCGACCTCCTCGTTCTTCGTCAATGACGACAATTGCTATAGGAAGCTCATGAAAGAGCTCACTCGTTTCGTGACCATCACGACGTCGCCACGCAATCCGAACAGGCGAATTCCCACCGATGCCGAACTACAACATCAGGCGAGGTGGATTTCCTTCGAAGAGTAATACCTCTTGAACATTACCTATGATAACTCAGAGCTAACGATAGCTTAGTGACGATCCATGGAATCAGACTCCAGCGGACAACCCAGACTGGCTTCGAGACTTCAAGCGGGAGATGGGCATTCTTGACGATGACCCAGGATTGAGTCCTTCGTGAACAAGATTTTTTGCCTCCAATGTGGCTGCAAGAGACTGGGCTATCAATTCGTTGGACTGCCCATGGTTCAAGGTGCATAGCTTCTCAGCCCCCATGCGTTAGACTCCACGCGAAAGGCGTAGCATTTAACCCTGTCAATCTCTGTATTCTAGAACAGGAATCCACCATTGAAGTCCTTAGAGATGATGACTCGAGAGACCTTGGTACAAATAATGTTCTCGCTCACATCGCAGCGATACCGGCCAAATCCACACGCGCCCTGCGCATTTGGATCACAAGTAGGGCGTAGGGAGCAGTTGACATGGGTTTTATGGGGCTTATCCGCAGGGACTACTCCGTAACCTGTCCCATTGATAGAATTGCCGCCCTAGGGCGTGAGTCTATCTCGCTAAAACCACTGATTCATCCACCCTCATCGAATAAATTTAGAGATTTCGAAAGGTACTAGTCGTGTGTGTAGTATTAAAGCGAAACATTTGTCTTTACCGTATCCATGAATATCTTTCAATGGGAAGACGTTTTCCCGATTTTTCAAAGCCAACGTGTTATCCATCTCACGCAGGGTAGTGTAAGATTCGAAGGTTCCGGTGCTTATCTTCATACGTGTTCATTCCTCCCTATCGCGTTTTCGACAACCATTCACAAAACTTCGAAGACCAGGCTTTGGACAATGCGTGTTGGTTTTCTGGGTTTGGGGTTCATGGGCACCCCGATGGCCCTGAACCTCGCTCACAAATTTCCACTGACCGTGTGGAACCGGACTGCTTCCAAATACCCAGCGCTCACAAAAGTTGGTGCTAAGATCGGCGATACACCGGCGGCGGTGGCCCATCAAGCTGATGTGATCTTCACTATGCTCTTCGACGGCCCAGCGTTAATCTCGATTTTCAACAGCGACTTTAAATCGGCACTCCGCGGCAAAACTTTGATAAACACGAGCTCGATTCCGTTGGAAGTCAGCAGACAGGTAGCGGATCATGTTCACAAAGCGGGAGGCAACTTCCTCGAAATGCCGGTCAGCGGCAGCAAAATCCCGGCGGAGCAGGGTAAATTAGTGGGTCTCATGGCCGGCGATCCGGCCGTGGCGGAGAGCATGCGGGCGGTGGTGGAGCCGCTTACCACCGCTGCCGTATATTGCGGGCCCATCGGCTCAGGCCTAAAGACCAAGTACGCGGTCAATCTCTACCTCAACACCATGACGGTCGCTCTTGCAGAGTCGTTCAGTCTCGCTCGGGCGCAGGGCCTCGATCTCGATGCTTTCGGACAGGTACTCGACGCCGGTCCCATGGCTTCCGCATATTCGAAGATCAAGGTCGCCAAAGTTGTCAATGGGGATTGGGATCCACAAGCATCTATGAAGGATTGCTACAATAGCATGCAACTCATCACCGAAGCCACGACGCGGGCGAACGTACAGTCGCCTCTGGCAGAGTTGTGTCGTTCGATCTACGGCCAGGCGAGCGATGCCGGCCTGGGCGAGGAGGATATGATTGCGGTGTACAAAGTCTTTCAGCCAACCCCACTCTAGGAACAAATGCAAGGAATACCTGAGATCGCTCAGACAAAGGGAGCGTTGCTCGGTCTATGGAGCCCACAAAATTCTGGAGCTTCTTGAACGAGCCTCTACCCTCGAGAAGCCCGAATAACGGGTGGGGACAATACCGAGAAACCGCCAGTATGACGTCGGACACACATAGCAAGGCAGCGACTGTCCTTGATAGAGAAGACCAAGCCCATCAAAAATCTACTCATCTACGACCTCAGTCTCCTCGAGTACCTAGTCTGGAACACCGCCAACTATACGGTAGAACATATCAAAATAGCAAAAGCGGAGGGTACTGGGCTCCGAACGACCAGAAACAGAATGAGGGACTCGATCTTATTCACCCTGCTCTTTTGATACTTCTGGATACCCGCTTATCTTTCATTCCCGTTAAGGGAGACGATGGGCCTGGATGAGTCCTCGATGTTGGAATGGGAACCGGAATTTGGGCCATTGACTTTGGGGACCAGTACCCGAAGTCCAAGGTCAATCCAACCTGGCTTAGTACTATCGAACATCGAATTTATCCTTGACGATTGCACTTTGAATTGGACTTGGCCGGTGAGAAAATAGGTCGAATACTTACTACTTGCCAGGGACGCAACATCAAGAATCTCTTACAAGAGACTGGAGTCGTTCACATTGTGGAACCAAAAACGAAGGCACCACCTACGTACGAGTGGCCCAGCGACCCAAAGCTAGAGGAAGCTAGGGACTTATTCCAGCTTGCATTCCAGGGAAGTCTTTCTATTTTTGGCATGTATCTTCTTACACAAGTTCTGAGATTGACACGCAAAGATGTCGACGCATTGATATGATAGCAGAGATGCGTAAGGAGTCCCGAAAGAAATCCAACTGCCATTGGTCCGAAGTCTAAGTGTCTAGTGATTCAGGCTTGAACCCCATGAGCTGCCTAAATTTCTGTAGGACAATCGTATATGGAAGAAAACCATAAGCCAACTAGACCGTCTGTCGGATTCCGCGTTGATTAAGACTGCTTATGGTGTGTAACCTTCATATTCGGGGGCTTGGACAGCGGTCCAAATCCCAGAGCTCGAGCTTGGGTGAGAGGGCCATTCTCGTGGCTGACGCTTGGCGGAGTGCCCAGGGAAGATCTACGAACTGGTCTTCCGGCGAGAAAACGAATTTTGCAGCTAGCTTAACAAGCAGGTCACTTTCCTGGACCTATTTACATTTCGATGAACTCTGGATCAACCCGTGCGATGAATGTCAAGAATGAACGATACTCGGTTGCCGTCGGCTCAGCTATCAACGGAGTAGTCCGAATGCCACATACCCAAGTGGATGAATCTGGATATTTGGAGACCGGCATAGTCACAAGACAGCTCAAGGTTTTCGGCCATGATCATAGCGGGGAAGCTGCAGCAAGACCGGTCAAGATGACGTAGATGGAACCGTGGAAGCGGTAATCATGTATGAACCTGACCATTCTCTTTGCAGGTTTGAAGAAATTAAAATTTCACTCTGACATCAAACAATAAGTACTGTAGCGCAATTAACTTACTTTAAGATGGCACAGAACGAACCACAAGCAGTTCAAGTGACCAAGTCATCCGATGGTATTACCACCATAACCATCAACCGAGAGCACCGAAGGAATGCAATCGATGGACCGACCGCTCACAAACTCACCGACGCCTTCTTAGCTTTCGAAAACGACCCTGTCCAGAAGGTTTGTGTCTTCAATGGAGCAAATGGCACTTTCTGTGCTGGCTTCGACCTCCATGAGGTCGCAAAGTATGGGCCTGGGTCTGAGAAAGGAGGCTACAATGGGCCCATCATCGAACACAGTCATCGAGTTCAAAGCCGCAATATCGGGCCCATCGGCCCATCACGAATGCAAATTAAGAAGCCAGTCATCAGTGCAGTATCAGGGTATGCTGTTGCCGGAGGTTTGGAACTTTCTCTCCTCGGAGACATCCGTGTTGCTGAAGACGATGCGGTCTTTGGAGTCTTTTGCCGACGGTTCGGCGTCCCTCTCATTGACGGCGGCACTGTTCGCTTACAAGCCATCGTGGGTCTCGGGCGAGCCCTCGATATGATACTCACCGGCCGCGGAGTATCCGCAGAAGAAGCGTTGCAGATGGGCCTGGCTAATCGGGTTGTGCCCAAGGGCCAGGCTCTGGCAGAAGCAACAAGTATTGCTCGACAATTGCTGGCGTTCCCACAGGCCTGCATGAACACTGACAGAACGAGCTGTTACTACTCGACTTACAACGCTAGCTCATTCGAGGATGCTCTGAGCAACGAATTCGACCAGGGAATCAAAGTGATCAACATGGAGAGTGTTCGGGGTGCAACGGAATTTTCCAAGGGAGCGGGAAGGCATGGAAAGTTCGAAAAGGCCAAAATTTGAGGCTTTGGCTAGATTGACGGCAGGTTGGAAACTGGCCGGGTCAAAATGCCGACATCGGAATCTGCGAACTTTAGGGAGCTTAGCCAGCACAGAAACCTGGCTGTTTTGAACTAGTGAAGGGCGCAGAATGTCATATGGGGACCTTGTCAAGAGTGCACGCGTTTCGGTGACTGGGGCGCCAAGTGGCCCACGTATGGAACAGGGTGAGCAATAGCCTTGGAGTTGGGAGTCAACTATGACTACCATCCATGAGAAATATTTAAATTGTTCTTCGCTGATTGGTAAGAAAAGTAGGGTGAGCATGCGGATTTGAGAATTCGGACTTTCTCAGCTCACCAACGGAATGGATTATGATATTGCTGCGGAGTAGTCGGCGTAATCGGCGTAGAGTCAAGCACGCAAGTAGCGAAGTCTTTGTAGGCTTGCACACATGTAAACATGAACTAGCTAACCTATCCGAGAATAGAAGTCTTATTCTCACAGTATTCATAATTACTTTGAAAAGGCCATGTGCTTCAGTTTTTGTCCAATTTCATGAACTCCGAAATGTTGCAGAATCTCGTGCTTCAACATGACAGCCAACCAAGCTGGCTCCAATCACCGATCCAAGCCGTCAGCTTCAGCTTTCAGGTCCAGTGCTTCTGCCGCACTGTCAGGCGGAATCTTCAATGAGAAGGGAACCATGCGAGCAATCGGAAATAAAATGATGTCGATGACAAAACTGATCGGCATGCCAACGAGAAGTGACGTGGAAGTTCATGTCGACCATCATTACACGTCGAAGATATACTCCGCAGGATCCCAGGTTTCCGGCACCGTCAAAGTAAACACGCAACAGGATACAGCTTTCGGGTTCGTCGAGATTAATCTCCTGGGAAAAGCCATTGTTCGACGGGAAGATGTCCACGTCATGACCGAAACGATACAGACACTCTTAAAGCTGTACATGCCTGTACCCGAATCGGCTTACCCTTCAACGAGGTTATTCAGACGTGGACACACTTACTCAATACCCTTCAGCTTCATCATTCCGCATCAACTCACCAGCAACGTATGCCAATACGAAGTCCAAACAGAAGCAGTGCGGCACCATCATCTCCGCCTGCCGTCTTCATTGACCGGATTTGAGAAGGATGATTTAGCAACAAGTATGGCAAAGATACAATACAGTGTGAGGGCCAGGGTTTTCAATATCGACGATGGTAGTACCGCACAACTACCGGCACCGATTCTTGAGTCTGAGCATCCGATTAGCATCCTCGCGCCATCCCCGGAAGATCCGCCCCTAGTCCTCGACAAGCACGACCTTCATTACGTTCTCGAGAGTACCAAACCTGTCAGAAAGAACATATTCTCTGTACCTACAGGCCAGATCACGGCCAAGACATCCCAACCCCAAGCTATCCGGGTGAGCTCTGATGGACACGCGGCATCCAGTTCGTCAGCCTACATAGACATTGCTTTCTGGCCCACGGCGCCAGATATGCTACCGCCGCAGGTCAAGATCAAGTCTACGAGTATATTGGCGCAAAATTGGGCTTCTACGCGACCGGTACAAAGCTTTCCCAACGTTGGCGTAAATCGAGAGCCAACAACACTATCTACCCCTACCATCGTCAACGCCACAAACATAACACCGTGGGTTCAACATGTTCACATTCTGGAGGATGGGAAATCAGGAAGAACTAAGGGAGGTAATCGAGGATCGAGAGACATCACGGTGATACGCAACAGCAGCACCCAGGATGACGGGGTACCAATTACATATACGTGTTCGACGCAAGTCGATTTCGGACTGCCAACCTCAAGCCACGTTTTTCCGCCTACATTCCACTCCTGCTTGATTTCGCGGACGTATACTCTTGAGATCAAGGTCACGGCGGGAGGAGCTGAGCTTCCCCTGTTGGTGCCTGTTCAGATATTCAAGGAACAAGAAAGTGGACGCTCTCAGGCGTCCACAGAGTCGGAGTTGCCCAGCTGGGATAATGTTGGAGGCGAAGCTGTCTACGCACGTCTGAGGGAGCATCGCCGAGCGCTGTGAGGGAACATCAATCCACATCACTAAGCGGCCGAATCCAACCCAAGACGATGACTAGTCCGCTACAAAGAGCAAGATTATCTAGCGAACTTCTTAGTTTGAGATTCGGAGTGGTTGGACGAGAGCCACATCCATAGATCATGTAAGAAAACAGGAAGGCGCGGCTTAGAAAATGCTAGATACCAGGGACAATGAGGGTAAAACTACGCTATATTGATATCTTGTGCACGATTAAGTATGTCGAGTTCTGTAATCCATTCCTGTCCAAATACGCCAGTCAATCATGATATTCGTTACCATCAAATCGCTGTCACCATCCTATCTATACAGTGCCTTTCCTGCGCTTCAGCTCGATCTTTGCGTCAACAGGAGGGACAACAGTGACGCCGACCCACTGGTGTTTGGGCCTCTCGGCCAGCGGCTTAACGTCATAATTGAGGAACAAGTTGGCAACTACCATCTTCAGCTCGTGGGCGACGAAGAAGCGGCCAGGGCTGCATATCGTTAGTTCTTAGACGATGGCGGCTATATAAGAGAGAGAGAGAGAGAGAGAGAACGGCTTACCAAGCGTGTCGTCCGTGGCCGAATGGCAGATGAGCATCACTCGTTGTGACCATCCCAAGGTTCTTCAACCTAAGCCCCTCGTCCAAGTTGCGGTCAGACTGCGGTTTCGCCTCGTACTCCTCCCTCTTCCTGCTCGTCCGGAAGGCGTCGTACTCCCTCGCGTTGGGGTTCAGTTCGTCGTCGTGGTGGAGGCCTTCGAGGTTAACGGTGAGAAACGTGCCTCTTGGCAGATGCCACCCCTCTTGCTCGTTGGTGATGCCCTCCTTGGCAATAACCTTACGCTCCATCAGGGTACAGCTAAAGTTGCTGAGCCTTTGGCTTTCACGGATTGCGCTGTCAAGGCGATACAGCCGCGATAGTCCATTCTTTGTCCAGCTGCCGCCCTCCTCGCGAAGAACGCGTTCTGCCTCTTCCCGTATACCCTCGATATAGCCCTTCGCTGGGTCGGAGCTCAACAAGTCTAGGACAATGCTGTGGCCGGTAATGACGGTCGTGTGGATCGCGGCGAACTGGATCGGCAACAGTCGCTTCGAAATAACGTAGGGGTCAAGTTCGAAGAATTTCTTCTCAGCCTTTGCCATGCGTATATCCCAGGTGATGAAGTCTTCGGGCGCAACCCAGCTCTCGTAGGCCGGATCCCCCGCCTCCTTCTTTGCCATATCGTCGAGTCGTTTCCTAATTACCGGTAGGCTGTGCTTCGAGGCTTTGCGCCAAAGCCACCAATTGGGTAATGCGATCAAGGGTCCGAGGATGGGCAGGATGGTCTGGGGAACCATGTGCAGCGCAAAACAGTTGAGAATGACCTGGTCGACGAACGAAACCATGGCCTTGCAGAACTCCTTGGTGCGGCATACGCCCTCTCCCACGAGCATGCGATTCGTCACGGGCGGCACGATCGTCAGCCAGGCGTCCCAGAGGTTAAGAGTCTTCCAGTCCTCGGTATTCGTGCCAAAGGCCTCGTCGACAGCGACGGAGACCTCTTCTTCAATCGCGGGAATCAGTGTGCTCAGGTGGCGGGCCAGACTCTTGTGGATTACCAGAGTATGCCACACATCATCGGCGTAAACCTTTCCAAGGAAGTTGTAGTCGCTGTAGAGGACATCGTTATGCGCTTCATGGGCGGAAACGACTGAGTCAGGGTACTCGAGGAGCCATTTCGTGAGGGACTGCGGGAGGATGATGTCGGGCGCTCTACTAGCAGCAGCGGGGACTACGAATGCGCGGTTCTGCTTGTTGTACTACATTGTCGCATACAAAGTCAGTGTCTCTTCTGGCCTGACCAAGTCGCTCGCGCCGGGAATGATAGCATACCTTCTTATAGCCCTCAATGACCCAGTCTCGGTAGCGAAACATGTAGTAGTAGAAGTTCTTGAAGCGTGCGACGGTGCCCTTCCCATAGCCCACAACGGGAATGTTCTCTGGGTATGTGGGCTTCCATGTGTGATCGAGGATGAGCAAACCAACAAAGACGATAAAGAGGGAGCTGAAGACGCGCCCAGGCGTCAGCGACTCGGTGATTTGGGCGTGAAGACTGCCCGCCATGGTGACGTAGTGTACAGCAGAGCTATCGTTCTCTGAGCATCGTCGTCTCTAGCTTGCAGAGAAAAGGGACTGAGATCAACCCAGAGTGTAGGAGTGAGACGGAGATGTGTAGGTGGAATTTCGGACCTTAACAACAGACCGCTCAGGAGTCGACGATTGGTAATGCCGGTTTGGGCTTTAGGTCATGACGCGCTGGCTGCATTGGCGGCTAGGCTAGAGCCTGTCATTTGGACGGGACTTGAGCTGCCGGCGGATACCTACAGCTCTACTTTAATCAGGTAGCTACATTTCTTTTTCAGCTGCCTCCAATAGTCTCTGACAACGAACAACATCCCCTCCAAAGTTCCTAATTATGCCCCTCGCTGGGCACCGTTTGCTCCCCACAAGAGCTCTTGATTGGAACTTTGGGAGCATGTCTGTCGAATCCTGCCTGCTTAAGCGAGGCACGCTGTGACCTGTTTCAGGTACGTGCCGTCTCATCTTTGCTCTGGGTCGCGAGGTAACCTAACACGATGGCACCGGATTCACTTGCAGATCATGTTAGTGCAGGTTCGTGGAGGGGTGGAATAGCATATGCAGGGTATCGCTTCCTCTTGTCTCGAACCTTGCTTAGAAAGGCTAGGTGTATCGGGGTAGTCTCCGCCATCCCACTCGTATTGGCCGTGTTTCTCAAGGGCAAAGAAGCGGAAAAGACATAAGGTCATCCTTCACACAAACCGAGAGCTGTTGAATATCGAACGAAAACGAGTTTATTTTACTCAATGCCTGTCTCCCGTGCAGCACAGGGGAGTCGTTGGTGAGCTTCTGAAGAATTGAGTTGGAAACTTCCAGCCCTCCATGGATTCTCCTTGAGAGCAGTGAAGGCCTTCATCATTTCTGCATGTGGCCATCCGTTGTCATCTCAATGAAAGCTTGCCCACCCTTCCGGCTGAGCCGGACGCCCAGCAGACTCGGCCGTAAACGCACTCGACAGCGTCAAACGAGCCTGTGTCAAATGTAACCCAAGTCTTTCCAGCATCAAGCGTGATGTCGGAGCCAGATGGTCCAACTGCAACAGCCACCCCACACAGCCCCGGGGCCCATGATGAGCCCGATCGGTATCCGCCCGGAAACACCTCCGACGCGGTCCAGGTCTCTCCGCCATCCTCGGACCATGCTGATGTATGGAGTGAACCATTGACCACGTTGAAGTCGCCTCCAGTAGCAATTCCGTTTTGCGCGTCTCTGAATCGTACCGAGAACACCCCAGCCGAGGCACCACCCGCAATCGTACTGCTCGAGACATCCCACTCATAACCGTTTGCGCTCTGGAAGATCCTGCCGGGATCAATGCCACCCGATGCAAGATACCAACGACCCGCTGCGGTAGAGATGCAAGTCCCGCTGGCTGCGAATCCGAATTCGCCCTCTAAAGTAGAGGGCATGCCGCTGGGGTCCACGATGGTCCAGGTGTTACCCCCATCGAGCGTCTCAATCAATCGAAACTTGCCATCGACTGGGTCGCTCACGGCAATGCCCCTCTCATCGTCTTCAAAGTCGACGCAGTTGAAAAACGCCGATGCCTCCTCATTGGCGAAACTCTGCGTCCAAGACTCTCCTCCATTCTTCGTGATGTAAATGCGCGAGTCCGCTCCTTCGCCAATAGATAGGATGATTGCCTTTTCGGCCGAGAAGGCCTGCACGTCACGGAACTGCAGGTCGGCGTCTTCGGTCGACAGTTCGGGACCAACTGATTGCCACGAAGCACCGCCGTCGGTGGTGCGAAGAACCGTTCCTCCTGTACCAGACACCCAGGCTATTTGGTCCGACACAGGTGACAATCCTCGGAATTGTTGTTGACTGTTGACCGGTAGAATGTCCCATTTTAGAGTCAGGTTCATGTTCCGCCCATGGACACCTCGAGTCACTGCAAGAGGGGACGCGCTCGCGACAAGAGTTGAGATGAGTGCAAGAAGGCGCCTCATCATGGCAGTATAGAGTTGGGATTCATCAGTTTGATAGGGGTAAGAAGAGGGGATCGTTCAAGAGAATTGGGTCTGTACCTAAAGTGCGTATACTTGTCAAGGCGGGGTTCGGGTTGGTTTGTGGTATACCAGCCTCCTCATTTCGGTGATTGCCATCTCAACATCCTTTTTGCAGATCAATGACGACCTTCCAATTTGGGCCACATCGTCTGGCGATATTTCTTCATCCGGACCCACTCACCAGTGCCATGGTCCTGGGATCTGTCATCATAGAAACACGATCGCTCGTGTCCTCGATGCACTTATTCCTAGCTTACAATGTGTGTCCAGAATACTTGATTTGGGTGGTGCTTTGCAATTCTTTCTCATCGTTTTTTCACTCATTGGCCTCGGCTAGATACTCAAGCATCATTGTGCAAGCTCCAGAAATGTGTGCGTAGTAAAAAATTCAACCACGGCCTTGTTGATTCTCAACTACCACAGTCACCCCTCAATTGATGGTAGGTATGTACACATGCACCAGATATCATCGAGTACCAAGTCCCTTCTGCTCTGTGAGAACTTTGGGAGGTTGTCGTCTGTCCAGCTTCCCTCACTTGCCTCCTGTAGTGAATTCGCCGTTCGCGATAGCGTCAGTGATCTCTTCGTCAGCGCTGAAGTAGACGTCTAGATCGCTGCGTTTCTCTAACAAGAGGTCAACTACCATGCGGCCAAAAACGATCTCGCCAGCTTCCCCCAAGTGGGTTCTATCGGTGCTAGCCAGGTTATAGTACTGGGCGTTTTCCTCCCCTATGGCGTTGACATAGTCGGTACTCGCAAGGTTGAGATCAAGCCACCTAACGCTGCTGGCCTTTGCCGCTGCGATCGTTTTGCCCCTCCATTCAGCAAGATCTCGAACCACTTCGCCATCTTCGAAGCGACGGCGAGTAAGAGACGTGATGAAGATCTAGGCATGGTATTAGTCGCCAGATTTGGTACACTGCAAATGAAGTGCGAACCCACCGGAGTCGCCCCGGCGTCCTTGAGCTCGGTCGCGATATTAACCAGATTGGCCCTGAACTCATCCAAAGTAAGACTCTTCTGGTCATTGTGGCCAAACTGGATAGTGACAACTGGCTCGTAGTCTGCCCTAGTGTCGTTGATACCCTGCAAGAGTGAAGCCCAGCGGCCGTTTGACTTCCAGGAGACGGTGGTAGAACCACTTTTGCCCCTGTTCTCGCCCTTTGCGGGGTCTTTGAGGTAAGACAGGAAGCCGTCACCCCAACCTCCATTGACCGCCACGGTGGAATCGCCGATGAGAAAGAAAAACGGCGGCTTCTTGGCTCGAGCCACGGCCGACCCCATGGCCATCGTCGCCGCCAATGCGAGAATTGATGTAAAGACGGTGGATCTCATTACGCGAAGTTTGTAAGCTGGAAAGCTAGTTTGTGATTTTGTTGACGATGCCTGAATGCACTTGGTTCATCAAGCTTGATGACCTCTCGGGATTCTGAGAGTTCTTCGATCTGACTTTCTATATTTATAGCTTTGATAGCCCCCTCATACGTCTCTCATGAGCATACAACCTCTCATCTTTGAGGACTCCCATGATGGTCACGGACCATATGATGGCTGAGTCCACCAGTTGAGTCTCAACCTTTCGACCGAGACGACATGTCGAGCTGAACTGATGCCATCTCATGTACATTATTGCGCGTAGACGCGGGGCCCCATGGTGAACTTGCCGGCATATTTCGTTTTTCTCGGAGCAAAGGAAACTTTGGCGTCCACGATCAACGCATATCCGGGCAAAACATTCGTGCCAACCCTTTATTGCAGCATTTGTAAGAAATTGGAGTTGCCCGCTGATTGGAAGAGACACCCGCACAATCATTGCCCCGAAGTAGCATACATATATTGAACTACATCCCTGTAGATGCTGTCTTCGGGCTAATGCGGGTCGCTCCGTTCAACCATACCAGGTTCCTAGCCACCTAGTGTGGGTGTTTTCAGGTGAGCCGTAGTGATCGTCGTCTGCGCGTCCAGATCTGCCGGACTGACGGGGCAAGTCTGTCGGATTCCAGGACCAGGTTGGAAAAATAAATTTCACATTCCGGACGAGATGTCCGATACGTGCAGTTTATCCATGACGAGGGTCCTGGCCTGGAAGATTGTCTCCCAACAAAGCCACCTCCATGAACTGATATTCCACATTACAAAGATGAGATTGAAACTTTTTCGTGGAATACACGACTGTCAATAATCTGAAGTGTGGATATAGTAAAGGTATGGAGCTTTGCTGCTTCGCCCTGCCGGCAAGCGAAAAGGTGAACTACGGAGCATTTGAGGGATTCATCCGTTTCTGGCTAGTCAGATTCACTCAAGCCAGGAAAATCTTCACTACAATGATCTTCTCATCTGGAGAAGACATAGGAGTAGGTAGGTCGAGGTAACATACGTTCTTAGGCCTTTATTCCACATGGGGACATGAACAATGGAGTAGGTCCAAGGCAGATACGAAGCGATGAAGACGTATTTTAACTAAAACCACATCTAATTGAACGCATCTGCCGTAAAGAGGTTTCACGAATAAGGATGAAAGAAAGATCAGGTTCGATCATCAAAGCATGGCGTCCTCGTGGCAGTAGGCTAGGACCAAGTCTAAAGTTACACCCGTGCTCCAACTGTCAGCGTGTAAGCGCGCAGGAATGAAAATTTCAGGATCGGCGTAACGCCTGTCCACTGCATTCTGATGGGTTTCACCAATACGCTAAACTTCTGAAAACGTGACTGTCATCCATCGGATTCCCACCTGGGCTCTTGGCGTGGAGATAGCTATACCTTAATCAGACTCAAACCCCTGCGTTAAGAAGCGTGCCCACATCTCAACATGCGGACTGCTCCGTCAAACCCGCACGAGGGCATCAAAGGGATATCGAGCGGAGAAGTCTTAAGAATTGCCAGGGAAACATATTGAGCCTTGAGGTAATAGCCAGTAGTCCAGCTTGATTATTGTCTTCACCTTTTGCTTTCGCTCTTGATCATACACTCTTCAGTGTCGTCGCCTTTCATACCAGCCTGCCTGCATCTTACTCGCTCATTTGAGAACCGACTTGAGCCAATCCTCCTCTACCTTAGCAACATGAAGTTCGCGAATATCTTGGCAGTTGCCGGTGCAGCTGGTGCCTACACCGTCACCATCGTTGACAAATTCATGTACAAGAATATCGATCCTGTGGTTATACCCGGCCAGTATGCTAGCCACATGCACACATTTTTCGGTTCTGATGCTGTGACATTGAACACAACCACCTCCAAAGAGTTGCAAGCGGGCTGTGCCACAGCGGTCAACCCCAACGACTACTCGTCTTACTGTAAGTCAAGCTCTGTCAAAGAGATAATCTCTATCAAGATAGGAAAGTCTGCTTGTTAATCCGAAATTAGGGGTTCCTACCCTTTTTTACAAAAACGAAACCGCCACTGCCCCAGTTCCCATCAGTCGATTCAGTGCCTACTACGTTGCAATCGAAAAGGCAGAAGTCGCCATTCCACAAGACTACAAGGCTGTCGTCGGCAACGCCTCCGCAAAGTCCGAAGCTGATACCGAGCCTCTAGCAGGCATCCAATGGTTCTGCGAGGGTGGCCCCAGCGCAGGGAAGGACGTCAATGGTTTTCCGTCCAAGACCTGCAACACCCATCTGCAGACGATCCTCCTGTTCCACGACTGTGTCAACCAAGAGACACTCGAATCCACATACTCTGGAACCCAACACTGGACCGCCACCAGCAAGCCTGCCAACCGCTGCCCTCTTGATATGAAGAGGATGCCCCAACTGCGCTTCAGCATCCGCTATGATCTTCGCAAGGCTTTGCCTGACGGCTGGGAGGGAACCGCCCCTCTGGAACTGGCTTGCGGCCCCGCCTATTGCACCCACGGCGACTTCATCAATGGATGGCTTCCTGAAGCTGCCGAGAACATGTTACTTGCAAATTCAAAGAGGGATTTTGCCGGTGTAGATGGTCCTGCAGGCAAATACAGTGCTGGATCTGTCTGCGGTGCTCAGAACGCCACGGACGCTGATCCGGAGAACGGCACTTCCGACTATCTGACCAGCAAGCAGATTCTCCAGAGGCTTATAGACCAGAAGGCTTGATCAAGTAGATTTTGTTGTATTTGTTCGGCTTGGTCAAGTTTTATTGTGTACGCTTGATAGCCGACTTTTCCTCATCATCAAACCTACAATCGTCCAAGACAACGAGAGGGAAGGTGGTTTTTGCCTCTAAATCTGCGAAGACCCCTTACATCTAACCAAAGTCGTCTTATAGACTATTAGGTTGATTCCTGGACCTCGTTGCAACTGATAATGGCCTTAGTTGTGTATTCTTTCTCACTAGGTACTCTTGTATTACTACTACAACATTAATTACCTTACTTAAGTCAAAAATAATTGGGCCCATCCCCATTCCATGCCCGAACACAGCTCTTGCGAAGATTTTGCAGGATGTATCACCTATGCAAACCTACGTTTGAACTCAAAACGCAGATCCTTATGCGAACTATAGCGGTGAAGTGTCTTGGAATTGGAAGGCCGGATTTACCTTGGTTGCGTTGAGTGAAGGGGTGGGCTCATTTCCACTGTGTTTGTTATTTACAGCCATTCAGTACATAGTTTGTGTGTCAGTTCTCTGGTACAGGATGGCTCACCAAGCCTTACAGCGTTAGGCACCCGATAGACCACGACCTACGTCTTAGGGTGCTGTACCTATGTGGCGGCTTCACCACAATTAACCGAAAATGCGTAAACGAACCTTGTCATCGGAAGGAAGAGGCACGTTTTCATTCCGAGAGTCTCTACCTCAAGTGTTTATGCAAGTTTGCCCTACACGGTTTACCTAGTGAGGACAGTACTTGATTTCTGGGAGAATCATAAATTGCATGGAATAGTTTGTCTACCTCAATCGGCCGAGTCGCTTCACTTGAAACCCTACGGGTGTCAATCATTCGGAAACTCTCACCTTAAGCCCGATAAACTGAGCCTATTCGGGGAAGTTCTCATAAGGTGATTAGGTCAAGTGTCTAGATTGAGTAATAATTACCCGGGAAGAGAGACAGCGGTCAACGGTGGAGAGCGGCGGAGAACGGTCGCCAGGGTCGATCCCTCCAAGCAAGGGCTGCTGAGCTGCTAAACCCTGCTGCGCATTGGTTGTCTTTTCCTTTCTTGTCTTTTTTTTTTCTATCTCTAAATGAGCAAACTCACACTTGATCAGAGTTGCTTTCAATTATTCTTATGTCTATGGGAATCTTCGCCTTGTGAAATATTCAAAGGATTGTTTTTCAAAAAGGTGAGCATAAGTTGAGCAGGGGGCCATGGGGTCGGGCCCTGATTAGATGCGCTGTTGGTCTATGGTATCGGGGTATCGTCCTTGTTCTAGCTAGGTACGTCGTTACGACAGCACTGATGAGCGAGGTATTAGCCATCTTCGGCCTTAGTGCTAGATTGGCGACGTACTAAAGTGCTCAACTGTTAATTCAAAGCAGAGAAAGATACTTCCCAGTAACCAGATGGGGCCAAAAGGGCGCAACACGTGCATGTGGATCCAAGTATTTTCTTGCTGGCATAGAACTCGAAAATGGATTTTGAGTCAAACATATCTTCTTTCATTAACAGTGCCTCAACTTTGTCTACTCACCACCACTGCAATAGAGGAGACTGGCCTTCTTCAACAGCTCCGTTAACAAAAGCCCAGCCAACTCGAGGCAAAGAAGTGGTGCATTGAATATTCGCCTTTACGTGCAATTGACAGGACCTGCACGGAAGATGTCGCAAACGGCTGTAAAAACATCGTCCATACAGTTGAGAAACATTCACGGCCCTATAGCATCTTCACCATCTACAGACTTTCACGACGACGAAGAGAGATCAAGGTCAAGAGAGAGATCCTGCTATGTTGAACGTGATGTCGCAAGTCTCAACGAATTGACCTTTCCTGAGGGCGGCTGGCAGGCGTGGCTGGTGGTCTTTGGATCATTTTGTGCAATGCTTTCGGTTTTCGGCCTCATCAACTCGGCTGCCGTCTTTGAGTCATACTTCTCTGAAAACCAACTCGCTGATCATTCTTCATCCGAAATTGGATGGATATTCAGCCTGTACCTTTTTATTGTCTTCTTTATTGGCATTCAAGTTGGTCCCCTATTTGACCAGTATGGTCCCCGCGGCCTCGTTGTCGCTGGTGGCCTTTGCATGTCTGCAAGCCTTCTCTTATTGAGCTTATGCAAAGGTTTGCCCCTTCTCACGGCTAAACTCGTCATTTTTCCTAACGGATGTCACACAGAGTACTATCAAATCCTTCTGGCGTACTCGATTCTAGGTGGCTTGGGTGGTGCTCTGCTAAACTCACCCTCTTATGGCGCTATTGCTCACTTCTTTGACTCGCGCCGAGGCTTTGCCACGGGCATAGCAGCCACAGCTGGTTCGATAGGTGGAATAGTGTATCCCATCTTGCTTCAGAACCTGTTTCCGACCCTGGGGTTTGGTCCGACAGCACGGATTCTTGGCTTCATTCTCCTAGGACTCACAGTACCAGCAACTCTCTTTATTCGTTCTCGGCTGCCAAAGAAGGAAGGACCCGGATCCATCTGGCCTGACTTCACCGTCTTCAAAAATCTCAAGTTTACCCTATCGGCAGTCGGGATCTTCTTCATGGAATGGGGTCTCTTCGTTCCCATAACCTACATTATCTCCTATGCCGCGACTCTGCCCGGCAGCAACGTTCATTCGTATACAATTCTCTCCATCCTCAACGCAACATCAGCAGTGGGGAGGTTTTTGCCGGGCTTAGCTGCAGACAAGTACGGAAGATTCAACGTCATTCTCATCACCATCGCCCTGTGCTTCATCACAGTCCTCGGTCTTTGGCTGCCCTCGGGCAACTCTCAACCAATGCTCTTAGCTTTTGTGGCTATATTCGGTTTCGCAAGCGGAAGTAACTTGGGCCTGGTCCCGGTCTGTCTAGGCCAATTATGTGACGCGAGGCAATATGGGCGGTATTTATCTACGGCGATGATGATGGCCAGCTTCGGCACTCTGAGCAGTTTGCCAATTGCTGGTGCCATCCTCGAGGCAAAGGAAGGAGGTCAAAATTGGAAGGGCCTGATCTTGTTTTCCGGTGTCTCTTACTTTCTTGCTTTCATTTGCTACGCCGCGGTCAGGGTGTTTGCCGTGGGGTGGAAAATCTCAGCAAGGTTTTAAGAGAGCAGCCAACATTGATGGCAATATCCTGAAGTTCAAACAAGAGCTGTATTTCTGAGACTGCATGAAATTGCTACTTCCTATATCATAGACATTTCTCCAATAAGCTCAATTGTCTACTTCTCAGCTTTAGTATGTGCAGCTATTCCTATCGGTCTTTACTCCTATTGTCCCGGGTTTGGTAGGATCTGATCACTGCCAGTGATCTGTCTCCATGTATTCTCTACGCAAGATGGGTCAATGATCCATATTGTGCTTGAGGTACATGATCATGGCAAATTCGGGCCGAAGCGCCGCGGAAAAGCCGATGTCAGGGCTGTCAGGGCTGTCAAGTCTGCTTATCGAGTACAAGACCTCCAGAAGCTGGACCTCATCGTGGCTCTTGTCTCAATTCAACATGTAGTTACTACATTACTATCGCTAGTGAGTTCTCACTGAGTCATAATATAGCAGAAAAGGTTCAATGGCTCTACGGTGTAACGCGCGGGAAAGGTCCATTTAGCCGACTCTAAGCTTGACTAAGTGCAGCATATGTGAGCGGTGACAGGATTATGAGGAAAGCAAATTTCGCCTTATTTTCTTGGGCGAGCTGGTAGCGCTACTGCCCTGGTACTTTCTTGATGCGCCGATTATCATGTCAGCCGCAAATCTCGGCGAAATGACTCAACATCAAGCAGTATCTACTCAACGTCCGACTCAATGTTTCTCATAGACCCCGTGCTGAAGACTTCGAGAGTGATCTGTGAGGACAAGGAAGCAGGGCTTTCCTGCGGTGGAGGCACCATGGCATCTGGCTTGCGGGTGTTGTCGCCTAATCGAGCTAGTCCACTTAGTGAGTGAACGATCTCTTCCCAGAAGAAGACGAAAGTGAATGACGATAAGCTACTGAGTGACTCGATTCGGACACTCCTGGTCCGTGATTCTTGGCATGGCTCCATCCAGATCATATATGCAGCTGAACGCTCAACGTCCTAGAGCATGTGGAGGAATCTGCTGCTAACTGTGGTCAATGTTAGATGTCGGTGCATCTGTGTGGCTCTCCAAACTACTGCCAACGGATTCCTGAGTCAGGCAAAGCGTGGCCATCGCTTTTCATCGTGTGAGGGATCCTTTGATTGGGTCAAATTCATAGCTGGTATAAGCTCTGAATGCATCGACGATGGGCTGCTCTGTGCCTTTCTGTTCATCTATCTACGGCTAGTCTAGTGGTCTGTGGTTCTGCAGTGCAAATGCCATTGGAAAGAAAAATCCTGCCGCTCACGGCCTGCTGTGGCGGCCTTATCCATATCTGCAGGATGGGAGGCAGGAGCATCATTTCGACTTTTATCTGCCCAGTCATAGCTGATCAGGAATTCTCCAACGTCATGAGCGATTTATTTAGACTTATTTCCTCACCTGTTCATGAGACGTGGTCGGATCTCGGCACAGGCACAGCCTCACCTAGCGTGCAATGAACACCGGTCGGAAACTCACACTTCTAACGGGGCAAGGCCCGACCTCCCGACAATGATCGCCATCATGAGTCTTCTTCGAGAACAACGGGGTCTAGTTGCATCCAAATGTGGCTATCAAAGAAAGCATCGCTACTCCCAATGGCCCGAAGTCAGAATATAGCCGTAACTGCCAGCGTCCCCAGATAGCCGCGGTGGGTAATAAGCCGTGGGGAGGCATTGGGAGGCGTGGGGCGGCAGAGGTTGCGACTGGTTGGACTTTCCCATCAACTCAATTTACAGTAAAAGTCATCTTGAGAAAAGAGTAAAGCTTCAGACGACAGAACGATGGGGGTTTTGTGTGAAACTGGAGATTCCTGCCCCCCACCGCACACCCGACCCCAGCATGAGAATAACGCCACGGCTGCTCCCGGTTGTGTGTAAGCCCGGCGAGTTTTGTCCTCTCGGGATATCCGGTCAGGTTCGGCCTCTCCCTGCAAAGAACGCGTGAGTATTATGACATGACGGATTGGCTCAACATAGTCAATGTCGGAGATATGAAACGACCCGACATGACAAGGCCCTCGAATTCCTTTCTGGGCGAAATGGGATATCAAGGCTAGTGAAATATGCAGTACAGAAAAACGTATGCGAAAACACATGGAGCAACCAGTTGATTCCTCATTGTAATGACTATGCTCATCTGAGTGGACTCAGCCACGTCCCATTGGCCATGTTCATGGCATATGAAGCGTTTTCGGAGGTGCCCATTCGAACTAGAAACGTTGACGCTATGCTGCTGTAGGCAACTCCAGAATGCTTGATATCACCCAGACTTCAGACGAGAAGCTCTGGCACACAGTAAGTACGCTAGGAGCAGCATAAGCTATTCTTCATGTAAGGTAGCCAATGCAAGATAAGGTGGCTATGGATGGGGACCGTGGACTTTTGCCTGCCGGCCACTTGCACCTAGAACTTTAATGAGGCGAACCAGTACCCCGCGGGACTGACAGTTCCCCGCGCGACCTTGGCGAAGTCGTGAGGCACTGAGTTTTTGTTTGCGTCAGCTCGCCCAATTGGGGTTTGCAATAAACTTTCTACGCCCAGTCATATGTGGTTGGGGATTGCTGGTTGGAGAGGCTAGCACCCAGGCCGTCGGATAGGGCTGAGGACAATACGACCAAGTACGAAAGCGGGCAGAACAGGGCCAAGCCCGTTCTAGCTGGCATGGGCTTAGTCTGGAATCAGGCCACGATGGTAGTTGGTTGTGGCAAACGATGCAATCGAAGGAGTTTAACATTACCGAAGATTTACCAAGCTTCGCTAGTTTCGACTCCAGGAGACTACGAGCAAGGGTTTAGCCTGCTTTCAAACCACGAATTGGGTCGTAAGTAGAGTTCGCGCACCTGCACCCGAGTCAACGCATGCATATGTTCCTCGACACCTGAGTTGTGACCCTAGCGGGAGGTCTAATCTTGTCCAACATTCATTCGGATAACATCACGGCAAGTCAAAGTCAGGCCATTTGTGCACCGTTTGAGTTCCTAGCCCTGGTGAAGTAATCCGGCTGGCAGCGCTGATACCATTTCCCATGGCGATCATCGATGCAAGTTGCGATGGCGATGATAACAATGAACATATCTGTCGTCAGTCACTCGCCTCAGCCACTAGTTCGGACATCATTCCGGACCAGAAAGCTGTCCAACGCAGCGGGGGGGAACAACGCCCAGACCCAGGAGTACATATGAAGTGATGATTTATACCAGAGTGAGAAAGAGAAAGAGGCGACGAAAAGAAGCAGGCCGCCGCAAAATAAAACACGAGTGGGTGATCATCTTGTGAATTCAGCAAGCTACTCTACTATAAGATGAACAGATATCAACCTAGTAAAGCGAAGCTCTTGATTGTATGACCTCAAGGTTTGAGAGGGAAATCCGAAGTTGATCCACAAGTCTCTCTCAGACCTGCGGGTAATGCTCACCATCTGGAATAGTCAAGGAAGCCTTCTTCGGATAAACGAATCTTCTGAAACAGATCATCACAACTCTTTCTCCAATGGAACTCCGTGGCTGTCGCACTGAGCTTTTAGATAGGAACACGAAGTGAACGATGCGGCGGGTGGGGCCGACTCCAAAGAGGGGGAACGGAGGCCTTGACCTCCAGACATGTGTCTCTCTCGATATGCACCCAAGCTACTACTATCCAAGGAATAGGAACGGGCCTAGAAACAATGGGGACCTGAGCTGAAAGGTAGGGAGGGGAGGGGGGTCAAGCCATCAAAGTTCGGCCAGAAGTCCAGCAGAATCCATTCCACGAGGCGTCTGGATGATTGCGAGACTCAAGCATTGCCTGTTCAAGGTTCAGTAGCGTCCTCGAGAGACATGATATTTGTTACATGTAGGCCAAGAACCATGGCCGGCTAGATCTTTCAGGACTCATTGGACAGGGATCGGGCTACCAGCCTACCTTACCTTGGATGGTCCTCGTGGGACGATCTCCTGCATCTCGACTCGGAAATCACGGCCCGGGGTCTATCAGTGCTTTGAACTACGCACAGCTGTGATGAACATGAAGCGGGGATGGTTTACATATTCCAAGACCCCCACAACACACCTTGACCCCGACGATATAAGCTCTCTTGTGTCTGTTTCCTCTGCCATCCCATCCATCATATTCCATTCCAAGCTATTTCATGCGATGTCTTCGCCGACTTCAGTAAACACCACGGACGTTGGCGGGAGAGTATACAAACGTCGACCTGGCGCTTGCGAGACTTGCAAAGTACGAAAGCGAAAATGTGGGTTGGGATGCTCAAACAAATCTTCACAATGACAACCTGACAATTTTTAGGCGATGGTGGCAGGCCGAGCTGTGATAAGTGCCTCGTAAGTGTACTGGTGCCTCGATAGTACCACTAGATTCTCATGATCTGCAGTCATCCGCCTCCTTCTGCTTCTATGTCACACCGAAAAAGAGAGGAAGATCCAGCCAAAACAGTAGGGAGATCCAAACAGACTGCGTTGATTGCCATACAGCAACTAAGCACAACCTCTCAGGCTTGAACGCAACAACCAGACAGATTGCTTCATTCGAAGACTTCAGCTATGCGTCACAGCAGTCCACATCACCCCCATCACCAACAGACCACTTACGCTACTTTGGGCCATCATCAACTCAGTCGTCACTCTCTGGAGTGAACAGACTCTTGGATCTTGGGCAATTCCCGACCGCTATGACAACTGAATCCCTCGAAGAACACTGGGGACCGTTGTCAAGTGGTCTATTGAACTCGCCTGAAGCTCTAGGAACACAAAGCACGGAGATCATCGCCAGTCCAGTCTCTTCGGCATTGGAGTATTGTTGGAGCACACAGCTTTTGTCCAATGGACATAGCGTTTCTGGTCCACAGGATTTTGACGGTCTGGTAACAGCCGGCTGGAATCTTTCAAATCTGCAGACAGCCAACGACGAGAGCACTGTCGACCATCCTGTTCGTGGTATGACTACGTTTCATGATTTTGGAACACCTGAGCTTAGCTGACAAGATGATGAGTAACCTCTGCGTACTCAACAACCGATATGGTGAAGCTCCTCATAGGACGGGATCGAAGTTCTTGCAATTCTAAACAGTTCGGACAGAACCTCATGGATCTTGTAGACGAATCTACCACCTGCTGTTACAGCCCGAAGCTTCCGGAGAACACTTATCAAAGGGTTCAGCCCAGCCTTGAAACACTAGTTGAGTTTCTTCATGGTACACTGCTATCAGTTCCAAGAGCAGTCTAGATAGATATGAAGATAGGGGCTAACTTTGACCCTTAGCTTTCACCGCATCTGAACCATATCTGTGAGTCATTCGAAATTATAGCATACGATTCTGACAGATCGATTGTTCTCTAACAATCTCTCGTAGTGGGTCGAGATACATAGGAGAGACTGAGATTTCACGACTCTTCGAAGATGTGGTTATGAAGGGGATGTCGGACCATGTCAATAGTTCGATCGTGTACGCGGCCCTTTCTATCGGTTGTTTGACCTCGATGAGGCGATCCGGAGTGTCACAAGAGACAGAATCGCACATGAGATGCTTATATAGCAACGCAATGGTGCACATCGAGAAAATACACATGTGCCCATCAACAGCTCTGAGCTTTAAGGTACCTCTACACACCACGCTACTTGAGTACAGCGAGCCATTCTGACTGAACTATTTAGGCGCTTATTACACTTGTAAGTATAGGAGTCGATTTGAAAGTCTTCTAAAGACTAGTATGTGAAATTCTCATTTATAGCTGACACCATTCGCAAAGCTCGTTGCCTCAGCCTTGTGGAAACCAGCGGACACGGATTGGTTGCTAGGAGTTGCAGTCTCCTGCGCCCAATCCCTTAAACTAAACAATCTAGCATGCTTGAAGACAGTTTGTCAAACGAACGAAGAGGTCGAATCATTAAAGCACGCGTTCTGGCTGCTGTACACCATCGAAAAGCCGTATCGATTGCGAAACGGACAAGCTTCGGTAAGCCTGCCGACTCTATGCATTAGCCATATCAGTCATACACTAACCTATATACTCTTGCCTAGGCTTTGAATGATGCCTACATCGACCACGAGCCGATGTCTTCCGGGATCGAAGCTAGAAAGCCGTTGATGCAAACCTTTGGGGTTCATTACCGTCTAGCTCAATGTTGTGCCAGGATAGCAAGCGACTTTGACAGTCAGGAAGCTCTTTCACAGTCTATGGTCTTCACATCAGAGAATCTAGACAACTGGTTAGAACAGCTTCAACAGTTGAAAGTTGACGTCTTCACGACACGGCATCAGCCCGCATTAGCTATGACGTGGGATCCGAGAATCGCCTCACCGAATAGTCCGTGTATGACACCTTCAGAGGGGGATATCTCAGCAAGCCTACTCTACTTCGAGCTAGTGTTGTGCGTCTGTGGACGTTTTTCAGCTAGTTCTTTGGGTGACTCAAGCACTGATAAGATTGAACAAAGGGTTCTTGAGTCTGCTATTGATATCTTGAAATTACTCGTCGAGGTCGATCCCACCAAGGCGGGTACAGATCAGTATGTCTCCGTCGCGTTGTCTTCTTCGCTCTTAGCACTAACCTAACACTCTTCCAGGAATTTGGTGCGCATTGCCGTCAGTTCGTTCTGCCTCGTTGCGACTTTCATCTCAAGGGCGAATGAGCGGGCCACGATCTTCAGATATCTGGTTTCAACGCTCGGTTTCTTCGCTCGGATGACAATCAATTCACCACTCATGACTCTGGGGAAATTCAGCTCCGTGGTGGACTCAGTGCAAAAGGTACTCAAGAATGATGGTTGAAAAGCTATTAACTAAGGTAGTTTCTGATTTACAATTTCAATACCCTTCAATAGATTAAGCTTCAGGTTCCCTGGCGAGTTTGTCTTGGTATGGTACGTCTTTTTATGCCCTTTCTCGTCTTTCTGATGGGCAGGTGTTGAAATTCCGATGGCCTTCAGTCACCTAGTTGTAGTAAAGATTTACGGACGATTGATTTTTACATGCTTTCATTTGAATAGCATATCAGAATGCTGGTACATTTCGAATATCAGCAGTCCTCCATCCGATACTTGCTCTACGACTCTGTAGGATTCTATTGTCTCTAGTGAACCAGCCACTCGTTGATCTTGCTCTCTTCCAATCGGCATTGGTGGGCAAAAATGTAGTGGCATCACAGTACCTACTTGAGGCAAGTCTAAGCGCCTGGATGAGGTTAGCCATGCCTCCACTCGTCTCAACGAGTTCCTCTGCGGGGTAAACGGAGCACGCCCCGTGGAGAAGCCATACATGGCGTTACAGACTGCGTGGACCTGTCTTTTGCCAGTTCGTCTCAATCGACATAGCTCAGGGTCCGATCGTCGGCCTCGTGAGCGTGTACAAGCCGATCCATGCTCTCACCCCTCGCCAAAGTTCTCGATGTGCTACTTACCCCTACTCAATTGCCCCAAGATTAACATCATTCAGATCACAAAATCGTCTCCCGTAGCACCCTCATAACACCGTGGTACATTACTTCAAAGTATTGCCTTCGTGAACTGCGAACGCCGGCAATCAAGTTTCTATCGATTAGCAGCTGGTCTTTCCATACTTCCAACATATTCGGCGAGATGACGGACCCCACCAAGAAATCAATCGCACCTTATAGCGTGGTCGGAAAGACGGCCATTATCACAGGGGCTGGCTCAGGTATCAACCAAGCGGACCTGTCACCACCGCATTAGAAAATATTTAGTAATTTCATTAATCCCAGGTATCAACTTTTCCTTTGCTGAGCTGCTCCTTCAGCGTGGTTGCAATGTCGTCATTGCTGACCTGGCTCTTCGGCCGGAGGCGGAGCAGCTCGTTTCGAGCTACCAAGACAAGTCGAACGCCAGGCCACGCGCAGCCTTCGTCAAGACCGATGTGACATCATGGCCGGCACTATCCAACATGTTCAAGGTCGCCATGGAGGAATTTGGGAGCTTCGACATCTTCTGTCCCGGAGCGGGTGTCTATGAGCCGCACTGGTCCAACTTCTGGCACCCTCCTGGGTCATCCGAGAGCAAGGACAGTGTAGAAGGAGGGAAATATGCTCTGCTTGATATCAACATCACCCATCCCATCCGTTCTACGCAGCTGGCCATCTCGTACTGGCTTCATCCCAAGGAGGCCACGAACGCCGCCTTGCCACCTTCTATCGAAGCTTCGCCCGAAAACCCAAAGCGCATAGTTCACATTTCATCAGTGGCTGGACAGGTTGCAAACATCAATGCTCCTCTCTACGCAGCTTCCAAATTCGCTATCACTGGATTCGTCCGCAGTCTCGCTCGCTTGGAAGAGACAAATGGGGTCCGCGTTAACGCTGTTGCACCGGGTGTCGTACGGACGCCGCTCTGGACTGAGCATCCGGAGAAGCTGGTCAATCTGGACGAAGCGCAGGATGGTTGGGTCACCCCGCGAGAGGTTGCTGAGGCAATGCTACGATGCGTCGAGGAGGAAGCTCTTGTCGGAGGATCAATTTTGGAAGTTGGCAAAGACAACACGCGCTTGGTCGAAGCTTTCAACGCGCCGGGTCCAGACCCCGACCCAAAGAGGGGCCTTGTTGCCAGAAACGGGTCAAAGGGAACGGACATGGTCTTTTCTTGGTTGAGGGATGCCACCAAATGGGCTGTTGGCAGAGATTGATATTACTACATGAGGCGTTGAAATTGCATGTATGTAGGTTGAAAACGCACTCTATGGTCGTAATGTACGTCCTGCATATCCCGGAGTGCCTATACTTAATGGCGCCGGGCGACGAATGTGGCTTGGACACTTGACTACGTGTAAGTTCTCAGGTATCCAAGGTAGTCTGATATTAGAAAAGCTCGCCTAGCGAGACTGCGCAACCTTCGACTATCTCCGACCAATTCACTTGATGAGGTGCCTGGTGCACTGACAGACGATAGGAGTCACGAAATCAATTTTGGGTTGCTGCACGGGGGCGTGATGAACAAAATTCACAGATCGTGAGAATAGCGCATAAGCCAATACCATTAATGACCGCGGCAAACGATAGCACAATTGTGCAGCATCAGGTCTAAACAGTACGGAGTATCCAAACTTGTATCAGAAGAAGCGCGTGCTCCAAAGGGTTTTAGCCGAAGGCGTTTGACTACGAGGGCTGGCCTATGAGCCGTTTGACTTTCGACCCCCGGTCTAGCGGGCCAACGAGAGATGCTCCCCTCCTATGGCTGTTCGAACGAACAAATACGGACGTCTCGGCGCGGCCAAACCGGAGCAGGTACGGGCATGTATGGTCTGGTTGCCTGTCTCCAAAGTGGGAACCAGTCTGGAATCGAGTCTACACATAAACTGATAATGACCCCCTAGTTGAGGTGGGAGTCCCGTGCACTTTGCCTGAACGTAACGGAAAAATACATACTCCATAGACCCGAAGACTACCCATAACCCTAATCCTAGCTAATGACCCGAACCTAAGCCCTACCCTAACCTCTAACCCTAGCCGTTATAGGCTTAGATTATGCACGGTACTCTCATCTCAACTATATACTTTAACTATATTAGGCTAGAGCCGTGCACGGTACTCTCACCTCAACTAGGGGGGGTCATTATCAGTTTGTCGCATCACTCTCTGGAATCTTGTGGGTGTCAGCTCATCGCACGGAAAGTTTGCTCAAGCAGAAATTCAAGCTCAGTTTCCCAAATCAATGCCTTGTTAAGAGACTTGGAAGCATGATCTTGCCACGTGCAGTCCAGGTGCAAGAATCTAAGAACTACAATGACACTGTGCGTACTGCACGCTCAGAGTTCAAGCTGTCACTAGGCCAAAGGATGAGTGGACAGAACGGACATCCAGGGCCGACCCCTTTATGCTATTTCTGCGGCAAGGCGCAAGAAGCTCGTCGAGGATCGTACAGTGAGGTGTACGGAGAAGTCGGTAATTGCGCTCAATTTGTTAGAGTTCGGCCACTGACAATTCGGCTTGCACCGAAAGCGAAAGCCCGTATTGCACTTTACAGTAGGGGCCAAGCGATGGTCTGCGCGAGTCAGGGGTCTTTCCCAGGAACTTCAGATCTTTTATAAGGATTGAGGCGATTATTGATCGTGGTCGAAGGATCACGGTTGAAATTATTCTGGTTTACTCAGCTGTCCGCCGGACCATCATGAAGTCATTCATTAAGCAGGCTGCCTTCGCAGCTTGCCTCCCATGCTTGGTTGTGGCTGATTACAATGACGCGTTTGTTGTTGAGTTCGATTCATCAGTGCAATTGGTAAAGCCACCCAAGTGTGTCCCGGTAGCGTAGATGCCACTAACCTAGCAACAGAGCCCAGCAGATCTCATCAGCCGGACTCAGGCATCTTTGGCAGTTTCTGGCTTAGACTGCACTGCATCTTCGCGATATCATTTCACTCACGCTGTATTTCAAGGCGGATCTTTCAACGTCGACTGCACCAACAATGGAGTTTCTCAGAAGGCGGTGCTGTCGACCATACAGTCGATTGATGGCATTCAGAAGGCCTGGCCTGTAACTTCAGCAGCACCAGCCGTCCACATGCCGAGAATTCCAGGTATTTCTGACGGCGATTGGGGAAGCAGCACTCATGGTTCGTCCAAGCGCGACTTGTCTCAGGTCTTGGCTCTCCAAGCAAGAGACAATATCGCAGCCGATACCTTGCCGACGCATGTTGATACTGGGGTGTCGAAGCTACACGCCAGCAATATCACTGGTAAAGGCATCCGTGTGGCAGTCATTGACAGCGGTTTCGACATCGATACTCCGGGCCTCAGCAAGACCAACATTGTCTATGCTCACGACATGACAGACGGCGACAATGATGTTCGTGACAACTGTTCCTTCCATGGCACTCATGTTCTGGGTATTGTAGGAGCCAAGGGTGATGAGGGGAGGTTTGGTGTCGTTGGCGTGGCCCCTGATGCCACATACGAGCTTTACCGCATCACAGGTTGTACTTCAGGAACTACGGATGACGCGATCATCAACTCGTTCCTCGAAGCTGCAGAAAGAGGCGTCGACGTTATATCATGTTCATATGGGGGTGCACTTACTTTCCCTGAAGGTAATTCGGCCCGATTCTAAGTTCTAAACTCAAAGAAGGGGAAGTACTGACAGGTTCAAGACCCCTGGTCTATCGTAGCCACACGACTGTTTAACAACGGCACCTATATCTCCCTTGTAGCCGGAAACGGTGGCCCTGGCATCTTCACAGGCGCCAGCCCTGGGGGTGCAGATGCTGTCGCCGCCGTTGGGTCTACCGACAACTCGCAAACTCCTTACTACAACTGGGGAGGCAATTGGACCGCGGGAGGTGAAGGTGGATCGCTTCGCTTTGTCCCTGGCATGCCGTTCGACTTCCCATCAAAAGAAGGGCTGACAGTCTGGACTTCAGACACACCCAACACCAATGGTTGCCAGCTGCTCCCTGATAAGTCTAGTTTGCCGGCCGACTTGTCCAAAGTCATTTTCCTCTCCCAGTTTGACCAATGCTGGATGGCAGCCGATAACTCTACAGTCTCACTCACGAAAGAGTTTGGCATCCCTTATGTCATGTACTACAGCTGGAGCAATTACACGGTCTCTGAAGGCCCGCTATTCCTCAAGGTCTCCGCAGCAAACCAGAAAGGGGCTGTCACGGTTGACTATGAAACAGCAAAGCAACTACTGGATGCCAAGGCAAAGCACGGTTCCGTTCAGGTGTTCCTTGCCAACGAGGTCTCTGTTGCAGATGTTAATCTCACTTATAAGGCCAATAACCGCTCTGGTCTCATGAGCTCCGTATTCACCAGCTGGGGCCCAACT